TAAACGAACGATCCGTATCAATTTTTCTTTTCTTATAAAGAAATGAGAGTATAAATCAGTATCGAAAGCCGAAGACCGATCAATACGTAATTTTTCCATCAAATTAACGCGGATAAATGAACGATTCGTATTAATTTTCTGTTTTCTTATAGAGAAATGAAAGAATAAATCAGTACCGAAAATCGAATATCGATTAATACCGTAAATCAGTGTCAGAGAATTGTCCAAGTGCAATGACAATTTGTTCTTATTTTTCAGGTACTTACCCCTTTAATTTACTTAACAAATTAACTCTGTTAAACGAACGATCCGTATCAATTTTTCTTTTCTTATAAAGAAATGAGAGTATAAATCCGTATCGAAAGCCGAAGACCGATCAATTCGTAATTTTTCCATCAAATTAACGCGGATAAATGAACGATTCGTATTAATTTTCTGTTTTCTTATAGAGAAATGAAAGAATAAATCAGTACCGAAAATCGAATATCGATTAATACCGTAAATCAGTGTCAGAGAATTGTCCAACTGCAATGACAATTTGTTCTTATTTTTCAGGTACTTACCCCTTTAATTTACTTAACAAATTAACTCTGTTAAACGAATGATCCGTATCAATTTTTCTTTTCTTATAAAGAAATGAGAGAATAAATCAGTACCGAAAACCGAAGACCGATCAATACGTAATTTTTCCATCAAACAAACGCGGATAAATGAACGATTCGTATTAATTTTCTGCTTTCTTATAGAGAAATGAAAGAATAAATCAGTACCGAAAATCGAATATCGATTAATACCGTAAATCAGTGTCAGAGAATTGTCCAAGTGCAATGACAATTTGTTCTTATTTTTCAGGTACTTACCCCTTTAATTTACTTAACAAATTAACTCTGTTAAACGAACGATCCGTATCAATTTTTCTTTTCTTATAAAGAAATGAGAGTATAAATCCGTATCGAAAGCCGAAGACCGATCAATTCGTAATTTTTCCATCAAATTAACGCGGATAAATGAACGATTCGTATTAATTTTCTGTTTTCTTATAGAGAAATGAAAGAATAAATCAGTACCGAAAATCGAATATCGATTAATACCGTAAATCAGTGTCAGAGAATTGTCCAACTGCAATGACAATTTGTTCTTATTTTTCAGGTACTTACCCCTTTAATTTACTTAACAAATTAACTCTGTTAAACGAATGATCCGTATCAATTTTTCTTTTCTTATAAAGAAATGAGAGAATAAATCAGTACCGAAAACCGAAGACCGATCAATACGTAATTTTTCCATCAAACAAACGCGGATAAATGAACGATTCGTATTAATTTTCTGCTTTCTTATAGAGAAATGAAAGAGTAAATCAGTACCGAAAATCGAATATCGAATACCGTAAATCAATGTCAGAAAATTGTCCATGTGCAATGACAATTTGTTCTCATGTTTCGGGTGTTTTTCTTTCTAATTTACTCAACAAATTAACTCGAATAAACGATTGATTCGTATCAATTTTTCTTGTCTTATAGAGAAATGAGAGAATAAATCAGTACCGAAAATTGAAGACCGATCAATATTTAATTTATTCATCAAATTAACGCGGATAAATGAACGAGTCGTATCAATTTTGTTTTCTTGTAGAGGAATGAAAGAGTAAATCAGTACTGAAAATCGAATATCGATCAATACCATAAATCAGTGTCAGAAGATTGTCCAAGTGCAATGACAATTCGTTCTCATTCCCGAGTCTTTCCCGAGTCGAAATATTAATTCTACATTGATCCTGCAAATTGTATCCAATTTGAAAAATCATTGCAGAATATCTAGATGCGCAATAGTGAACAAGCTTTGTCTTACCTGAACGTTACATCTGGCTACTCTCGCAGTCTCGCCCATGATGAGTCTTCAACAGCGACGTATTCCGCAGTTATTTAATACTCGTTTATCTCGATAATGTATATGTACTTAATCCTTATATTCTTAATTTAAATGAGCAATTTTTGTTGATATTGATTATATATTTGCTTAACAGCGCAAGAAAGAGAACAAAGATAAACACGTAAATAGAACTGTCTTTGTTAGAACTGCGCGTGAGATAAATATATAAGGATTAAATAATCATATAAGAATTAGAGGAAATGGGAGATGAAAAACACTTTTTATTCTCATCATTCTTAAAGTTCTTTTTTCTTTTTTCTTCTCTTTTTTTCTTTTCTTTTTTCTAATGAGAATGATGAGAATTGTAGCTCTCAAAAGAGCTGAAGCTGCAAAAAGACAACGGTTATGTCTAATAATGCTGTTTCACTAACAGAGATTTTAATTCTGATTCGGTACAATAAGAAAGATAAACAAGAATGAGAAACGGACATTCTAGCAGATTCTAAAGGGAAACAGCAATCTGAGCATTATTAGACGAACAAAAATCAATACTTGTAAAATTTATATCATATATTCTAAGATCATTATTCATAGTTTTTTAAATTATGTGCAATTTTTCATTGAGAACATAATTACAAATTTATATTCATAAACCTTAGCTTGCCTTAGCAACCTTGCTTGAATAGACATTCATATTTTATGAGAAAAGAAAAGTAGAACTCATGTTACGTGAAATTAGTTTAACGAATAATCAAATTTCAAGCTATTTTTCAGATGATAAACTATGAATGCTGATCTAATTTCGACTCGGGTATGTCCTTACTTCGAGTAAGGTCCGTTAAAATCAGAAAAATCTTGCGTAATAATAATGACTCGAGATACCTCGAATACCATATATGATGTATCGCTGTCCACGTCTCTCGGCGCGCTCCAAGTCTTCTCTGCATCCTGACTTCTCGATCCGACGTCCTCCTTCTGGTTACTCCGTCGCAGCACCCCCGGATACTCCATCGTAGCACTGGCGACGACACTGACTCTAGCTCTAACACTCGCGCAAGTAAGATTCGGGGACAAAGAAACGCGTATTAACCGATTACTCTGCGTCGCGGTATGCGCGTCGTTCGTCGGCCCGAGGCGCAATGTCCTTTCCGCAATCACGGAGTCATATATAAGCGTACGAAAACAAACAATCGGGAAGGCACGGTTACCCCCCACCAGTCGCTGATCTTGCCGATCAATGTTGATGCCTGCGTCGTCCGTTAGCTGAAAATGAAAACAACTCGTGTTTTCAAAGCATGCCTGTGAGAGACTCGCTTCAAACTTCACAATACTTGTTTACGTCTGTTCCAAGAATCATATTACGCCGAATTCAAACTGTCTCTATTGACATGACATAGACGAGATCTGATCGCATTATTGATCTTTCTTTGGACAAGAAAATCCTGAGAAGAACGCTGTTCGAGAATATCACATTTTATGTTTCAGGTGCCTTGCAGATTATCGAATCCGATGTAACAGATCAGCGGCGCGATTCTTTAACTCGTTATTGGAGTTAACGACACTTTCGTTATCGTTGCGCAGCTTTTCTATACCGTAGAAAAGCTGCGCAACGATAACGAAACTGTCGTTAACTCCAATAACGAGTTAAAGAATCGCACCACAGGGAATGCGTCGCTATGAATAACACGCGTGGACACGGAGTACTCCAAGTCAATCACGTTATACGTGAAACGTACGTATATTTAATATTATATAAAACTTACCTTTTTAAACAAAAAGGTAAAAAAAAGGCGCCAAGTACAAGCGTAACACGTATTGTGTTATTTTTAGAAGTATCAAACTCAAATTATTTTTTTATTGTATATATGTGTACATAAGTTTTTTTACAAGTAAAACTTATAACTATAATAAAACTCTGCAACGCTTTTCTACTGTACAAAAGAAATGATATATTAGGACAGTAGCGCCAACTGAGAAACCTAACATAACATAACTAAAACTCATTTAATACATATATGATAGCATTTTTATTATAATAAAATGTTCTTGTAAATTCTCTTTATACATATACGGCATAATGTTTTATTTAAGTTTATATAGTATTATAATAAATAAATTATAAACCTTCATTATAGAATATATTATAATAAAAATGTTGTCATATATGTATTAAACAAGTTTTAGTTCGATATAGTTTTTGATGCAGCCGCGCCAAAATTTTATGAACAATTAAACCTACGCGTAAGTTGCAAGTGCGTTTTGCATCGCGCGCTGCGCGCACAATTGTTGAAACCTACGCGTAAGTTAAAAGTGCATAAGCTGCACGCACGGTTATTAAAACTTACGCGTAATTGGGCACGCACGTGCGATACAAAACGTATTTGCAACTTAAGGCCATCACACGTAGAAAAAACTTAACCGTAACCGTAAGGTTGTAAGAAAACTGACCAATCACAGTCGATCCATTCTCTTGCGACATTATAATAATCGACTGTGATTGGTCAGTTTTCTTACAACCTTATGGTTACGGTTAAAATTTTTCTACGTGTGATGGCCTTGATGGCCCTTACGTGTGGATTTCTCACTTCAACTTGTTGCACCAGTTCAGCAGTGCAGACAAAACGAACAGGCCTATTGTCTGGCATAGAGATAGTAACTATCTCTTGCAGCACGGACATAAACTGCCTGAAAGTGGATGTAGCATGAACTTCCACCATATGCAGATTTTACCACCGAGACCTGAAAGTGGATGTACTATCGTAGTTCCCCTCTCAAAATGGATGCAGATGGCGTCCTTTCCCCGTGCGGAAAGTCGGTGTCGCAGAAAATGTCGTATTGACCGCTCTCAGGTTACTCTCTGGTAGTACTGAATGCTCCCAATAACAATTCTAGTAACATCGAATAAAAACTATCGTCTAGGGAACAATCAAGATAACTAAAGGCTCGTCTACAATAGCTGTAAGAGTAAGGCTGTAAGGCTGTAACGTAAGCTGTCAGCGAATGAAAATATTTCATTTCGTGTCTTGCAACCTTACAGCCTTACTCTTACAGCTAATGTAGACTAGCCTTAACATCATACGATAATCGATTTTGTAAGACAAAAATAATCGATGTCAAAATAATCGATATCGCCTATTCATATTTCGATCAAGTGTCGCATAAATACACAACATTAACCTCGCTACTTGTGCATCCCTCGCGCAAGAGACACTATCGAATTTAACTTAATCGTCATAAATTAATTAATTACATTGATAAACACGCATTAAATGGCTGGTAAAGACGACAGTTCTTTTGTTACCAAACCGGGTTTTTGTCCTGATTGCGGCTCGATTCTACCCTTACTTGGCGATAAAGGAGGAGTTACGTGTTATGCATGCAAAAAGGAATGGAGTTCCGAAGGTATGTTTATAAATTAAAAGAAACAATAAAATGAAAGATATTACAAAGGTAATCAGAATACTTTATCTTGTAATTCTTTACCTTGCGAAGTTGAGTAAACATTAAAGATGTATTCCATAAGGATGTAAAATCATTTTTATTTTCTAGTTTTTGGTGATATGATAATGACGCTTACACTTCATTTTAACTCTAAACATACTTATAAATCCGCAAAAGATGCAGATAGCAACAAAGATGATGCAGAGGGACCAGTCGTAGAGCGACGATGTCCTCAATGTCAAAACGATAAAATGTCATATGCTACTTTACAATTGAGATCTGCTGATGAAGGACAAACAGTATTTTACACATGCACCAAGTGCAAGTATGTCTATTTTTATAGCACTGTCCTTATTGAAATAGAAGAATTTATATGTTATTTATGTATTAGATTTTTCTATATTGCTTAAAGTATGACTAATAAGTGGTATCTCCTCTTTTATTTGCAGATACAAGGAAACGGAAAATTCTTGATGCAATCTTGCACTGTATATACAATTTCGTGCCAAATATTTTATTGTATAATGGATATGTTCCTTTTTATCAGATTCCTCCAATGACATGTGCATAGCTTATCTGTTTCAATATGCATTGATTTATTTATTTTTGCAAAAATAATTAAAAACCACAAATTCTTGTGATTCAAATCATGTTGTTGAATGTGATATCCTGATTGCTCCTACAATTTTGTTATTAAATGTTTACAGTCCATGCATACAAGAGCCTGCGTTATCCTAATCTGTGAGATATAAACACCACCCTTAATAAAACATAGAGCTTTATTTATAATACACTCAACAAATAGTGGTGAAGAGAGTACATCTGTTGTAATTTTATAATTCTACTAGGTCGTCATTACTGTACTTTTCCTTCTAACAATGCTTCATTAACCTTAGTTAAGTGTTTAATTAAGTCATTCTGTATTTACAATGCGCGCGTGTCGGGATAAAGGTTAACAATTATTTTAATAAATTCATCTTGATCCACTCTCGAAATTGTTACAGTGGTCCTTGTGTTAAAAAACTTCAATAGTTAGAGAGTTTGTCGATAGTCTCTTACTTATCCTATGTGCATTTACACATTGGCACTAATATTTGCCCGTAATCTAACAATAATAAGAAGTAGATATGCTATCTCATGTTAAGAAAAAGGATATCAATGAGAATTAATCGCTAAACTTCATACGTACACACGAAAATACTTAAACTACCAATACAGATACAGTACGAATATAAAATACAAATACGATATCAAGTGATATTGCATAATTGCACTTTTCTTAACACTCTGGTATACCCACATCACAAGTATTATAAAATAGGGAAATGGAATGCTTAAAATATCTAAAAAGACGCATTTCTCCACACACTTGGAACACGTGAATGCTCGGTCATTCAAAAAGCGAAAACATGGAGAACCAATATAGACACTTGTTTCCTTATAAAATCTATCTATCCTTAAAGAAACTTGGAATCGATTTTGCCTTGAATTTCAGGGATATTCGTTTCATTATGAGACATTTGAAAGCATAGAAAATTAAAGAGTTTGTCTAGCTGGAAACAATTGTGCTAACAGAGTCTTCGTCCCGCGCGGTTACATCGATTCTAAAAATCTTCAAGGATAAAGTTTCATTAATATGTATATGCATGTGTGTGCCACGGCGTTTGGAATATTTTATATATTTAAAATAATGGGGATTAATACCTTTATAACAATGATGTTATCAAACGATGGTCTTATTTTTTCGAATATTATATATCTGACAGCATATAGTATATGTTTTATAAAAAAACATTACGCGCCTTTTATATTATATATAGTTCGTGTTATTAATAACTTCTTTTATTTTATTACACGTTCTTTATGTCTTTGTACATGTTATTTTTATAGTGAAACATCTCTCAAAATGTGCAACGGTTTGTTTGGATAACAAAAATAATATGATGTCGCCTAACTATAAATCGTTTACAAAACATTGCTTTTACGTACACCATTACCGATTCTGAGAGTAGAAATCGGTTGCTGCTTTTACACTGCCTTTTTTACGTTACCTTCAAAATTACAAATATCACAACAGTCGATCGTACAAGACGGTGCTGTGAACATGTACAACTTTTTAAGGACACTAAATATGTTCCAAAAATCAACTCGCTCAGAAAAAAACTCCACTTCCTTTTGTGTGCAGACAATTTGGACTTTTACGTGTTATTAATTGATTACATTATTGGCGGATGCTGTAGATTTCAATCGATTGTATTTGTACAATATCCTTAGTTCATCAAAGCTTTTTTATTAGTACAACGGGATTATTTGTTAATAATAATTGTTAATATTATATATTAGATTAATCGAATATATCAACACTTGCTCTTTATTATACGTAAGAATTTCATATTTTTTACCGAGTATTCCAGAGCCTTAAGATAACATATATGAGTTCAGGAAATTCATTCTGTAGCGTTAAAATCAGGCTTACTTAGCATATTCATTGCGAATATTTTAAATTCAATATCGAAAATTAAACATTTGTGCTGTAAATGCTGGATAAATACGAATTTCAAATGCGAATAGGAATAAATTTTTTTATATTTCGCGTTCAGTAGGCCGTGATAATTGTTATATTTCGGAACGTTCGGAACGTGAAAATCTTATTGTCGGACAGTATACGCACAATACTATGCAGCGTATACTTCAGTTTTCTACATTTTCTCGTCAACAAGATACTCAGTGATCGATGATAAATTATTCGTGGACAGAGCATTTCGTGTTCTATAAAATACCGACAATATTATGCAACCTTATTCTTTATTAAAAACATTTTAAGATAAATCCCCAAGTTTTTTGCAACATTTGGCAATTAAAATATTTCGCTGCAACTTCTAAATTACAATACGTCAATGCTACCAGTATTTGGAAGAAATGCTTCTTTTTCCAATCCAATTTTTCCAATTTATCTCGAGTATGTGTAAGGTTGTAAATGTTCAGTCTATACGTTGTACAAAAAATACCAAAAAACCTAACGTCTGGAAATCCAATGACTGAACTCATATATGTGAACATTCTGATGTATCCAAGAAGCTGCGCTGATAACAAACAACTGAACAAATCCATATGTATAAATATGAGGACGTGTTATCTCAGATGGCTAAACACATTCAAACAACTTATTTCAAGACAATTGGAAAAGTTTGCAAAATTTATAGATATACATACAGCACCACGATCCTTTCAGATATCTCTACTGAATCTCACGCAGTTCAGAGCACCGACCTCGTCGGGGAACTTTGTTTCCAGTTACACAATATCACCCCGACATAAAATTAAGATCTGCAAAGATTTCATCAACGATGAAAGAGAGGCGCCGCCTCGTACTTTCATTTTGATGACACAAACTTAACGCTGTGTCAAATTCGACAGTCGGTCGTCTATTTGACCATCGGCAGAGAACAAGCGGTTTGCGTGCCGACGCGAAATTCGAGTATGTACGTAATTCGAGACAGTATGCACGGGACAAAAAGTAGCCCGCGCGAGCAAATGTGAACTGCCACGAGATACCGAAATACTCTTCTAGTACTTTTGTGGAATCTCGACAGAGAGGCAACGTGACCCCGCCATCGTTAGGCCTTTAATGCACCGTTTGATCGGGTTACCTTAGAAAATGTATCAAAGATGTTTATTTCCTTTTTCTCACACAGACCTGCCCTGCGCGGTTCCATGATGAGCGGTGGAGCGAGTTCGCTCTACCTCCTTTTCGCGTTTACCCGCTACGTTTCTCCAGTCAGTTCCATCCGCGATCTCCTATCGCTATGTACACTAAACGCTCATATTACATATCGTACATAAACTATGTACACGTGATAGAGTATTTACAAGTGTGTAAATGAGGCAGGTGGTATACAGCATCTAGATTGTCATCACTATTCCATGCTCCGATCATGACGACGTCTGGAAGCACTCGTCCAGAAAGTTCTCCAGCGAGTGATACAGGTGCGTTCGTGACTTGTCAATGCCGTGATCCTCGTCCGTATAAGTCTGCGAAGCAATTTGTATTGTAATCTCATTTACTCTATTCCCCCCCCTCTCTCTCTCTCTCTTTCTTTCTCTCTCTCTCTCTCTCTCTCTCTCTCTCTCTCTCTCTCTCTGTTCTGTCGCCCCAACAAAAGAAATTCCAAGGCGACAAAATGAAAAATTATCGGCAATGTACCTGTTGTCTGAAGAGGATGTCCTTCTGCTCGAGGACCTTGGCGAGCATGAGCGATTGCTGATAGTGCACGTTGTCGTCCATGGTTCCGTGGATCAAGTAGTACATCTTGTTTTTAATGTTCTCGACCTTGTTGAGCAACTGACCCTGCTCGTAGCCCTGCAGGTTATCGGTGGTGGTCGGCAAGCCCATGAATCGCTCCGTATAAATCGAATCTGCGAACGAAATAATTGTCGCGCCTGCGTTAACGGGAGCGTAGTAGAGGAACGATGTCCTCCTGGGCAAGGAGCAGCCGGCTACGTCCTACGTCGCGCCATTGTGCCGCGTGAGAAACATTTTATGCGGAAACTGCACGAGTGTCACACGCTCCGCATAAGTCTTTTTAATACCGTCCTGTAAATCACGCGTATTTTCCTCGCGCGCTTTAATGAAAGTAATGCTGACATGAATTTAAAGTGGCTGAAGAAATCACGTTAAAGCTGAGGCAGCGCGCGTGTCCTTCCAGCGCGCGCAGCCGTGCCTCTTCTTCATTAAAACTCCGACACGCGGAGAATTCTCAGAGACGAATCGTGTCAAAAGGCCAAATGAGCTTAACGTACGTCTCGTCATAAGCAAGTCGCCACCTACGAAAATAAACTCTTCCCCGACGACCGTTTGTTTGCAGCAAAAGAAAAAAAAAGAAAACACGAAACAGAGAGAGAATAAATGAGTCAATTAAATGTTACTTTGCGTCGACGGATTTGATCGATCAGTTGTCATCGGAGAATCTTTGTCTCTTTCTCTTTTGTAAAATAATTTTAAATGAATTATCCGCCGGGACGCCAGTAGCGATAATCCCTAAATAATTCCGGCCCATTTCCCTTAATAGGTTCCCTTAATAAGCGCACGTACCGTAAAGAGCCCAATCCGTAACAGGCGCGACGGACATGCCGCATTTAAAGACACCGTCCAGGTCCATGGCAAGTGTCATGCCGGTCGCGTATCCACCGTAACTCCAGCCCCATATCGCTGTCCGGGTACGGTCGATGAAGGGTAATTTGTCCTGCAGATGCCTGCGAGGGGCAAGGGGAGAAAAAGTTACGTATTGTAGGTGCTAGTCGCGATAGGGGAAATCGATGATGTCGAAACATGTACGCCGCCTGAAGATTGTGCAGTACAGCTCGCGTGATGAAATATCTGGCTATGGTGGCTCTCGATATGAGCAATCACCTCGACACAAACACGCGAAACTAGACGGTAGACCCTGTGATGTTGTTAGAAGTACGTTGTTCTCAGTCATTAACCACGTCACTTGGCTAGCAAAGCAGTCGTCGAAAAACGTCATTGGACTTGATCTGCAGAATACGTTTATGCAAACGGAAAGGCTTCATTGCGCAAGGGATTTGCATAATCGACGTCTCGTCAACATTGTAAATTGCGTGACCGCGGAGGGAAAGTAAAGGCGCGGGAATGCGAAGGGGTCGCGTGTTCGCGAATAGAAACACCTGTCTGGAAAACTTTGAGACGGCATTAAACGCAGGCGGAGGGGAGGAATTTCTATAATGCATCCCTTTGTCTCCGTATGTGGAATGATCGCGCTAAGGCACTGCGAAATTGTCCCTCTTACGCCGGAGAATACCGTGGCGCTCGTAAAAAGACAATCACCCTTCTCGCTAAAACGCGCGGGCGGGATCGCGCGGGCGGGATCGCGCAGGCGACCGCTTTTGCGGATAAGAATCGACGACTACACTTTGTAATTTCTGCCCCCGGTTTTCTCTCCCGGCTTGCTTCCCCCGTTATCTCGCGTGCGCTTCATTGCGATCGTATTACGCATGCGACCGATGCGCTTCGTATTAAAGGCACATGGCACACAACAATCGCCATTCACGTGCCGCGCGTTACGCATTGCGACTCGACGCAGCGGCGTCGACTTGCCAGACTATCGAGAAGTCTCGGGCTGAACAAGCAATTGTAATCTTCATGGATTTAGTAAAACGCTGAGGAACCACTCACTTCCCCCTCCCTCCCTCCCTCCCTCCCCCTCTCCCTCTCTCTTTCTCTTCCTCCCCTTCTATCTCTTTTTCCTCGCTTTTGGTATGCGCGACGAATAGATCTAAAGTTGCTCGCGAATTCACAGTTAAGTCATTCGCTCGAGGGTGGAAAGTCTCCGAAGGAACGCGCGTACGTCTCCCGAATGTCTTCCAGATCGAATGTGCTGCGTTTCGCTTGGTGATTCCCGACAGCCGGAAGTTCCGCGCGCGCACCAGCAGTCTGCGCGGCGCGCGTCTGCCGCTGCCGTCGTAGGAAGGGCAAGGGGAGAAAAAACGGGAGAATTCGTATTTCTTCCTTCCAATCTTTTCGGGCTATTGTCTCTGGCGTCTCGCGTGTTCGATAATAATGGCCCCAGCGGGATCAGCGCGCCCACGCCGGCCCGATCTCGCCCCCGTAAAAATACTAGCTAGACTACTCCTCGCACGACGACGCGCGGCAGATTTCGCTTCCTCCCCCGCGCCGCGAAATTTATTTACCTCGTAAATCGACCGGCGGCGCGTTGAATTCTATTTCTTCCCGTAAGGGCGAGAGGCGAGTGGAGAGGAAAGGATCCGGCCGAAAGGATCGCTCTCCTATCTTTCGTTTTGTGGCTGGCCGGCGCACATGCCTCTCTCCCCCCTTTGTCCTACTCCCTCTCTCTCTCTCTCTCTCTCTCTCTCTCTCTCTCTCTCTCTCTCTCTCTCTCTCTCTCTCTCTCTCTCTCTCTCTCTCTCTCTCTCTCTCTCTCTCTCTCCCCCCCCCCCTTTCTCTCTTTCTGCATACATATATCCAATTTTTGTACTCCGGTACAAATTTAAATCTATTCGCGCATGCACGCCATCGATCCTCGAGAGCAGTCGTGCGCTGCGCTGTTAAACAACGCGTTGACAACGAAGTTTTACTTCCAGCATCCTCGAGCGTGTATCTGGGATCCGCGACGTCATTTCGAGTGGCCTCGTGCTTCGTTTATTTGCCCGGCAAACGAGACAAAGCGGAGAACGCCGCGAGTCCCACCCCCGCGATCGCTCGCTTCCTCCCTCAAAGGATCATCGCGCGCTTATGAAGGCTGCCAGCCACGCGTTTACCGAGACTTTCGGATTTCGACACCGGTTGATTATACGGCATTCATTCTGCTGCGATTAAGCGACGGTGGGAGTAAGCGGGACGAACGACGGCGACAGGCTGGTGGTTAGTCGGCTCGGTTAACCGGCTCGATGACGGAACAAAGGCTGCGACAGAAGAAACGGATATAGAATACGCGCGTGTGTGGTCTCGCAAAGGGTTGGAGGATCGCGCAGGATAAGGACGCAAGGGATCTCTCTCTCTCCGCGAGAGAGGCGATCCGAGCGGCACCGAGGGAGGAGGGATAGGGAAGAGGGAAGAGGAAGAGAGAGAGAGAGAGAGAGAGAGAGCGAGAGAGAGAGAGAGAGAGAGAGAGAGAGAGAGAGAGAGAGAGAGAGAGAGAGAAAGAGGGAGAGAAAGAGGGGGAGAGAGATAGCACGATAGAGACCGCGGGTCGAAGAGAGCCGGGCGATTCCGCAATCGTTTGGCCCGCTTCCAACTCCGCAACTCGCTTTTTACGGGCTGGACGCCATGCAATGCACCGGCAAAACACTATGGCGGTAGATAGATACGGGGAAACGCGGGGATAAAATACACCGATCGCGCGTTCTCCTCTCGCGAGCGAATATCCGTGTGCTTACAGTGTGGCGAAACGAAGCGCGTCGCGATAGAGGGTGGATTGAGAGGGAAGGACGGGGAGAGTGAGAGAGAGAGAGAGAGAGAGAGAGAGAGAGAGAGAGAGAGAGAGAGAGAGAGAGGGAGAGAGAGAGGGAGAGAGAGAGGGAGAGAGAGAGAGAGCGAGATAGAAGGAGAAACAGCACGTCGCGGCGATTCAACGTTTATTTTAAACATCGCCGCGAGTATCGTCGCCTCTGTTATCCCTGGACAGCGGACACCTCTCTCCTCGATTCGTCGTTGTTTAATTAACTGAATTCCGCCCGGTGATTTCGGCGCGGAGATTACGGCGGCACGGTCGGCATCGGCCTACGCGGTCGGTGGCGGATTTGCGGCTTCGTGCTTCCCGCGGCACGTTGTCGCTTCAAGGCTGAAATATCGTTTCGCCGGCGGGGAATGAGCGTTATTCATCATGCCCGGAAGTTTGATGTTTCGGTTTAAAGATGGACGAGCATATAAGTGGTGAACTCTCGCTCTACCAGCCCCGTTCTCCTTCCACCTCTCCATCGAGATAAATTGCTCACAGCAGCCGGTGGAAATACGAGAGAGGAGAGCCTGGCCGCCTCTTCGTCAGCAACGCGCGCGTTAACCGAGCTGCTCTCGACGCGAACGTAGCGGGAGAGGGGGGAGGGAGAACAGAGAGAGAGAGAGAGAGAGAGAGAGAGAGAGAGAGAGAGAGAGAGAGATAACGGAAGAAGAGATACAGCCGATAAATTCAGATAAAAGTACGAGCAATTTTCTTCTTGTTAACGCGGTGGGCTCTCTCTCTTTTTCTCTCCCTCCCTCCCTCCCACCTTCTCTCTCTCTCTCTCTCTCTCTCTCTCTCTCTCTCTCTCTCTCTCTCTCTCTCTCTCTCTCTCTCTCCCCCCTCCCTCCCTCCCTCCCTCCCTCCTCTCTCTCTCTCTCTCTCTCTCTCTCTCTCTCTCTCTCTCTCTCTCTCTCTCTCTCTCTCTCTCTCCCTCTCTCTCTCTCTCCCGGACTACTCGTGCCAAGAAAAGAACTTCATTAAACGCGGAGCGAAAGCCTTGCGCGCCCGTGGACGCGCCGGGGCGGGAGGGCGAGGAAGCCGGAGAGTTAGATTAGTTAACTTGGGGTTTAGCGGATTACCCGATCGCGCCGCGATAAGTCACTTTGGGCGCGGCGAGGCCCCGCCTATAATTAGGTTTGTCCTAAGCGAAACTTTGCTAGCCGCTCGCTTTCAGGGGACGACGCCGTTGGCCGCGACGCTCGCTGGGCCTCGAGCTCGTCCGCGACGATTCGCGCCCGCGTCCTTCGCCCGCTACATGTCGTCGTCGTCGTCGTCGTCGGTAGTTTATTCCGCCGGCTAGACACTAAACGTCTCTAAGAGGCGATCTCGGCTCAACCGTGCCGCGTCTACCACGAGCGTGAGTAAACGTGTGCACGCCCTGATCCTTAGGACGACGGGAATATGTTCGTGCTTAAGTTCGCGTCTTGGTCGGGAAGCTCGCGAGATTCACGGGGAATTCGCGGCGAGACAGTTCGGAAAGAAGAGCGTCGGTCGTTACGAGAGAGATTTACACGAGAGGCGATTTCGGACGAGTTACATTAAATTTGAGATATTTCAGATGTTCGAGGTAGCTCTCTCTCTCTTTCTCTCTCTCTCTCTCTCTCTCTCTCTCGCCAGACCTGGAAATTATGTCTATGTTGCTAGCTCAATAGCGATCGATCCTTTTCCCTTGCTCGTTTTCTTCTCTCTCTTCTAGTCGGTCTACACAAGTGAGTAAGTCTTGGGGAGCAATTTCCCAAAATGGAAATGGTTTCTATACGGAATCATCCCGCAGCAGCGGAAAGAGAGGAAATGGAGAGGGGAGATCACACTCACCTGGTGACGTTGATTTGATCGATGATCTCGACGGTGCCGAGACGGCGGTATCCGGCGAACAGCATGTCGTTACCCATCAAGCCGGAGCCACGGCCGTCGATGACGGCGTGCACGACACTTTTGTTCGTCACGAGACACGTGCCCCAGTCGACGTTGAATTTCTCAGTCACCAGGTTCGAGTCCGGCCCGCCATACCTGAAAGACAGGAAAATCGCACGGCGCGCATCAGTCGGTGAATTATACATATCGCGTTGCGTATCGCGTTTGTCGTCGCAGCCTTTTTCCGCCACGTTCATTCCACGTCTGTTCGCAATTTCGCACGTACACAGTGTATTCGTATTCACGTTACACGTCGTGAGCTTGATTCTTTTACACCGATCCCAAGTGAAATAGACGAAAGGTACCGGCGAACGTGCTATATCTATAGCGGCAGAAGTGATGTGATCTAAATTTCTCACTTGAGCAGGGAGAGAGAGAGAGAGAGAGAGACGCGGAATTCAAATGAACCCTCCGCAGCACTCGTGCCCGGCCTGAATCGGCCTCTCGCCCGGTAAAAAAAATGCTAATGTCACCACTGCAGCGGACTTAGCGGAAGTATCCGGCACCTTCCGACTGTTTAGCGGGCAATTCTCCCGGCTCTCGCGCTCATTACCGTTCTCCAACGATCGTTTGCGGGAAATCTTGGTGACACTTGAGGGATTCCTTCGCGAAAGGCCTCGGCAGAGAGCGGCAGAGGCAAGAGGGGGGCGCAAGGAGGTCAAACGGTGTCAAACGGTGTCGGGAATTAGGAAATGGAGCTTCGACGACGAAGATGGCTTTTCTGATACGGCTCTCTCCAGATAAAGTCGCCGAGACCGACGCCGAGGCGGGAAATAGAGACGGATAGTAACGATCCGGCGCGGTGCCGATATATAAATGCCACGGTGTTGCCGGGAAACGACAACGACTCGACGCATTACGTTGCCGTGGCATTGCGACGATCACGACGTATCGCAACGATCAGAGAGAAAGAGAGAGAAAGAGAGAGAGAGAGAGAGAGAGAGAGAGAGAGAGAGAGAGAGAGAGAGAGAGAGAGAGAGAGAGAGCGCGTAATGAGAACTCGCCGGGCTGAGAAAATACAGGGACATCCCGAATTCGATGACGGTAAAATTAGACCGTTGATTTTGCGCGGTGCTTACTGCCAGCCGTTAATTCGTCTGTACAAACAAAAGCGGCCGTATCATCGCGAGCGTCGAGCGTCGCGATTGACGATCGGGAATTTCATCGAAAAGCCGAGAGAACAGACCGCTGCTCGAGTGTCTGTGAAAACTCCGCGCGATCCAATATAACGTTTCAAACGCAACGACAATACAATTACTCGGCTATAAAACGAGTGGTGGAAATTCAAACTTCTCTTTATTCGCCGTCGTCAAACGAGCGAGACGCGCCCGCCATGGCAACGGCGATAACTATTCCGTATGTGTGTGTGTGTGTGTGTGTGTGTGTGTATGTGTTCAGACCTCAGTCACTTTGTTCTCGTATTATTTCGCAGAAAGCGTTATATTTACAGAGAGCTTGCGTCTAACGCAAATGCGAATTGCGCAGTGTATTGACGATATTTAAATCGATAGGGGCTGATAAACCACTAATCGTCATTCAGGAAGAGGTCTTGGCAGTCTTTCCTTATCGGCGGCTCGAACAGCAAGATAAACAAATGAAGCGTCGCTCCAATGATCGCGTCGTTAATTCTCGTCTCGCCGTGAGTGCGCGCAGAGCGAAGTTTCTGCTTCGCCAACGGACATAGCGTGTAATTGTCGCCGCAAGCTCGTTGTACTTTCAAAAGTTCAAGCTCGAGAGCAAGACCGCCTACGAATTAGACGTTATTAGGATTTACGTCGAAAAGTTATATCGGCCCCGGGCGTCGCATGCATGTTCCTCCTTCTAGATGCGAAAAACACGGAAAGCTCATCCCGTTGACTTTTTAAGACAATGAATAACAGCTTCCGACGAATCAGCGACTACTTAGAAAAGAAGCTGCCGAGCACGACCGGAATGAACGAATAATTTTTACGCTCTTTCTGCATTCGTCACATTAAGGCAAGTTCAGTCATATGGAAGCTCAGAGATTCAGGAAGAAGAAGGTAAATACCAAGATACTCCAGAAGGAGAGAATTGAAAATATCGAGATACTTTACTCCATCCTCTTCTCTACTCTATAACACAAGAAAAATACATGAAAATATTAAGATGAGAGCAAATGAATTTACGCTTAGACGCGTCCAGCCTGCAGTGGGCCTTCCGTTCTCCTTAGAGCGGAATAGTTCCATTCCGCTTCGGCAATCTTTTCATTAATATACTTAGAAATATGAGCGCACGCGAGTGAGAGATCGATAATGCTCCGCTTTTATCGGGGAAGCCATTGAAATTCTCTCGCCGGTAAGACTGAATACGGAATGACTCATCGCTTCGTGGTTTTACACCTCGCCCTAATTCAGGCCACGTAAAGAAGAGCTTCGTTTTCACGTCACGGTGCAGATTGCGTTCCGCTGCTGCACGTTCGTCACCGCTCTCTCCATTACGCTTATCTCGCGAGTGCATTATGACGGAGCCGATTGATGACGCTCGCGGAGTGCGTTGTCACATTTCTTGCCGCGGCAGAAAATATGAATGCTTTTAAGTGAGCGTCGAGATACACGCGACCCGCTAAAAAGCGGGCGTAAGAACCTGGTCGGTTTCGCGGTTAGAAAACGCCCGGTCGCGCGTAAATATTCGGCTACTTAGGCGCGTACGAGGTTTGATCGAAAAGTAAGGAGAATTTTGAAATTGCGCGCGCTGTATCTTGTCCATTCAGTTGATTCTTTTTTTGTGTGTTGCTGGCACTCACTACCAGTGACGTACGTGTCAATTTTCAGGCAGCTGCGACGCTTAGTTTGTATTTGGCGAGCGAATGAGCAAGACGTACCTCAGGGTGTTCGGCGATTTTTTGTGTGGCGAAATGTCGGATCAGAGAGCATACCGTTTTGCTTATCCAACAGTTCTTGGCGAAACACAATACCGTTGTGGTGCCGCAACCACCTTATTCTCCAGACATGGCCCCCTGTGACTTTTTCCTATTTCCCAAACTCAAAAGGACACTCAAAGGACAACGTTTTTCGACAGTATTGACGAGATCAAGGGCGAAATCGCAGATCCAGCTCAAGACGATATCTAAAGAGGCGTTCCACCAGTGTTTCTCAAACTGGAAGCTACGTTGGCATCAGCGTATAATATCACAGGGGGACTACTTTGAAGGAGATGAGATAAACATTGAAGATTAAATAAATACTTTCCGAGAAAATTAAAAATTCTCGTTACTTTTTGATCAAACCTCGTACGTCCGACGTAATTTCGCCGGTGGCGAGGCGAAAGTTTGAGCTTGCGCGCGTTCGATCAAAGAGAGACGAAGAAAAAAAAGAAGAAGAAGAGAGAAAAATAGAGGGACAAAGATGTCCATTGGGAAAATAAAAAAACTTACACTTGGACCAGCATTGGGTACTTGGTGGCGCCGCTCAAGTCAGCACCGGGTGGTATCAGGAGCCTCACCTGGGCGTTGAAGTCATCGGAAACTGGCAGTGTGTATCTGTGGACGATCGGCTGCGATTTCTCGGCTATTATCTCAGCGACCGCTCTGTTGTCCTCCCACACGGAGAGCAACGTGGAATTCTGAAAGCGAGAGAGAGAGAGAGAGAGAGCGCACACTTCATAAACGTACGCGGCATCGGGATAGAAATTCACAGGAGACTCGCGTTTCTCGCATTCTCGGGATTAAACACTGCGGAGGCATCCGAATGAGATATCTGGATGACAATGAAGAGAGATGTATCAAGATAGAGGGAGAAGAATTGTCGAACTCCGTTACCCAACAGATCGCAGATATATCAATTTTGTCACATTTCCTTGACAGCCACCCCATCGGCCAAGTTCGAGAGCCAACCCCGTCTGTCAATTCAGAAAGTATTTAATGGACGTCGGCGGACCTTCGACGCGCTCTCGATTCTCCTTCTTATCTCGATGCAACCCAGACGTCATAAATCACCGACCACCTCCGAAATCCGACGTCGCCATCATCGAGTATTAGATCCCGGGGCAGCGGAGTGGGAAGGAGAGAATAACACCGTCAACACGATCAAAAACAGCGAAGAAACTCGCTCGGAGAGTCGTAAGACGAGCGGAGAACGTTTAGCGGCTCGCTCTCCGCTCACATAACGCCCGTAACTTCGGCAACAAAGCTCTCCCTTTCCACGATCCACCCGATTGGTATCGACTCGGTTCAAAGGGCGACCATTCTTGCAAGTAGACGCCCGCGGTCTTTTTTTCGGCGGAACTGCAACCGCGGGGGCAGGACACGAAGGGAGGCCGGGGGAAAGGAGGAGAGGAGGCAGAAGGATCACGATAAAAAATTGCATTAGAAAAGTCGTACGGACCAACAGTGGTGAGAAGGGCGCCGCGATTGCCCACGAAGTTTCCGGTCGCGTTTTTGCGCCGAGTTTACCTCCCAGTTCGCAGCCCGGATCGCAGCAAATGTAGCGAGCAATCTGCGCTTTTGTGCATCGAGGACTCGCCGAGCGCCTGCCTGTTTCTCTCTCTCTCTCTCTCTCTCTCTCTCTCTCTCTCTCTCTCTCTCTCTCTCTCTCTCTCTCTCTCTCCCTCCCTCTCTCTCTTTCTCTCTCTCTCTCTTTCTTCTTTCCTCGATCGATGGTGAATCTAGATTTTGCATCGACGAGCTTTTTCCCGATCTCTCCTCGCGCGAGTCCGCTCCCAAGTTTCTTTCGCCGAATGACAGGTCTCCGACTCTTGTGGAAGTCTCAATGCGCCGATCGCGATATGACGTCGCGATATCGATTTTCGATTGGGACACGGATATATTTTTTATCTGTTGGAGCATACACCGCGCCGGGGATATGTACGGCATGGCTGCAATTTCGGGCACACGCTTCACATAGGGTAAGCTGATCAATTTTTGAGCAAGTTAAGGAACGACAAAAGCGCGCCCGACTGAGGTCTCCGTAAATTTTGCAATGCCTGTTCCGGGGTTTTGGAAGCGAGAGAGAAAGAGAGAGAGAGAGAGAGAGAGAGAGAGAGGGAGAGAGAAATAGAAGAGAACGAGGAGAATATCACACTTCAACTGTCCGTACAATAGCTTTGAAGTTCTAAAATTGCACTTCAGTAAAAATCGTTGTTTTACCGAATCTTTCTCAGTTATCGGGATATTCATCGAAAAATATTAAAATTTCGCGAAAACAAATTGCACGTGACATTTTTATTTTATTAACAAGGAAATAAGTTCCTGGGTGATCAAAGTGAAACGCAATACCAGAATTGGCCAGGTGGAAGAAACATTTTGTTTACAATGAGGAGACCAGGATAAAATGGAATATCGAAAAGTGTACGTAATTAATAGATAACGCTTTGTGCCTTTTACATAAATGCCGATAATCGCCATTCTCATAATATCGTCGTAATTAAACTGCCGCGGCATGCGACATGACATCAAAATGCAACGATGATCGAGAAAGGAATTCCAACGAAAAGTTTTGCAAAGTATTTGCCGATATCGCAAACACGTGCCACATTCGCGCGTAAATATATATTAATCTGTTATTCTATTGCACGAAACAAATGATATTGCCGCAAAAATCACACTGAAATTACGCGCGTTAAGATACAGTTTTACGTAGCGCCTTTCTCCATTCAGGATATCCCAAGATGATATACAACTGAAATTAAATCGTAAATTTTAAGATTGCTTCGCGAGTTGGAAACGTCGAAATAAAAAGCGCGCGCGAAAGAAAAGCGAATTGAGAGAGAAAGAGAGAGAGAGAGAAGAGAGGGGAGGAGAGAGGGAGAGGAGAGAGGAGGAGAGGGAGGGAGGGAGGGAGGGAGGGAGGAGGGAGGGAGGGAGGGAGGGAGGGAGAGAGAGAGAGAGAGTCGGTCTGCCGATTCGCTCAGCTCGAAAGCGTGAATTCCATCGATCTGGCGACTCTTTAGCGTAATTGGATTAACGTTCTTTGTCGACAGCCGGCCGGACGAGGAGACCAATTACCGGCATTAATCGGCTGCGCGAAAATAAGCGATAAAAGTGCCAGGTAGTCGGATTTCCGCTCCCTCGTCCATCCCGCTCCGTCGATCGCGATAAAGCACGTAGATTCGTTCGCGAACATCTCCTCGAAGAAGTTCGACGACTTCCACTTCTCGCCCCTCCGGCCCGTGTCTGTGTCCCTGTCAGTCTGCCGGCAATCAGATTACAGAGGAGATAGCCGACGAGATATATACTTATATCGGGCGTGTTTTACGCGAGAGCAATTGCCGATTCCAATCCGCGCTCGTTGTTGATTGCGCCATTTTTTCCAATGTGTTTTATTTACGCGGCGAAATTGGAAGTTGATACAAAACGTGACCGATTTAAAAACTCGGTTAGGCGGCACACGCGGTCAAACGGTGACCGGTACCAGGGCAAAGGGAAAATTTAAATAGCTCCGTAACGCCGTTATAACTCGCGCCGCACGCGAGCATCGATTGCGACCCGCGCTCTCCGAACTTCCCAACCTCGTTTTATGTAACACACGCGCGCCCGCACACGTCATTATCAATTTCTCCAATTAGCCGTTACCGAATTTTCAATTGCGCCGTCAAACGCGCACGAGTGCCCTCCCGCGCCGAGAGCGAGTGAAGATTCTTTAGTTTCCCGTAGCCGCCGGCAATTCCCCGACGCGGACGACTCCGGCGAAGTTGCAGCAAATGATTTCGCGAGTTACTCCGCGCGCGGACGCGGGAACGATCGCGCGTCGCTGCGTCTCTGTCGTCTCGATTGTTATTTCCAACGCTCGCTTATTTCCCTCCTTTCTGCTCGCTTCCTTTTCCAGACCAGAGACGGGAGAGACGACCGGCAGTGTCGGTCGCGCGCTGTCGCGATAATCCGGCCGTCCGAACCGTGTTCGATCTGATTAGGCCGAGTGAATAGTGCCGCGAGAGCAATGTGTTTCGTTGCGGAATTTCGACCGAGCTTTGTACGTGCCACGGGTAGCGAGAGTGCGGCTGCAAGCCTGCAAGCTCGTATATTATTCCGGCGCGGCGCGGCGCGGGCGCCGGGCTAACGGGGAGCTAAAGCCCGTAGTAGCCGCGTATTCTATTGCTGTAACGAAATTTATTCGATTCGGCTGTCTGATAGCGGGCCCCCGCGGGTCGTGTACCTTTCACTAGCAGAATTACGCGGCTGTCATCCATACGTCTATATCATATGCAAATACACGCGCCATCGTCTCCGCTCCCCTGCCGAGCGCGCGATGCGAAGATTATTGTTTCGCTTGTGCGTAACACTGACAATATGCGACGCGTAATTATCCAGGGGACGGGAGGGGCGGGGAGGGGAGGGGGCGAAGGAGAGGGCGTGCAAAAGCGCCCGAATAAAAGGAAATCTCGTGGAATACAGGCTCGCATTACGCGAGCGCGAGTTGATTATTCGGATATGATGAGATTCGCGGAAATCTGATAGGCGCGGCACACGCGATGATCGAAATGCGCCGAACGCCGATAGCATTCGGCGGAATGTTAAAAACGGGCGACAGGGAGACAACGTGCGCTCAGACGAGAGAGCTTGCGCGGGATTCCGCGAGTCGGCCCGTAAAATCAGCGGTTTTCAATTTTATGAATTACGCGCGCCACGGAATGTCAGCGCGGTCGCGGACAGGCGTACCTTGTTATAGATGGCTATGCTTGGCACTCCGGGCCCGGCGCACGTAAGCACGTAATGCGAATTGTCAGCGGAGAATTTAGCGGTGTTGTACAAACAGCGGCTGCCATCCGTTTCGCGGACAATGTTGCAGCTCAAACACGCCGACTTGCGCTCCGGGTCCAACAGTGACGCTCTGTACAGGTGCTGGCCCGCCGAGTCGTGCTCCGAAGTGGCCAGGTAATATCTGCAAGAAGAAAAGAATTTGCCTCAGTCAAGCATGGCTCGCGATGCGTGTGATCTCACTCCGCGGAGGCGGCAAATGTAAACGAGCTTCGCGAAATTCGAGTGCGAACATGCGCGAAATGTCCACGACGAGACGAACGATCGCGTGCGTTCGGGCGATGAGCGACCTCAAGCCGCCGCCGCGCGCTATGTCGGCTCGGCTTGAAGAGTAACCGCGAAGAAATTAGTTCTTCGCCGGGCTGCATCATAGGACACGGGAGGGGCACCTGTTGCGACACTAAGATGCCAGAATCGCGATAAGGGCGCCGGCGACGGCGAATTGTCCACCGGTTCGATGCTACTTCTCGCCGGGACGCGCGTCCCTGCGACTTGTATTTCACCGGCCATCATATCTCGGATCTTGTTCATTTCCCTCCGCGTCAGCAACCGTCTTGGACGCGCGGCCTGCCCCGGACGCGCACCGTCCATGTCGGGAGACGAGAGACGAATCCTTAAACAGAGACGGCCGCGATTTTCATGCGACTCCGAAGTGTCATGAACACTCCCGCGAAAAACTTTGTCCGCAGCAGTCGCTCTCTCTCTCTCTCTCTCTCTCTCTCTCTCTCTCTCTCTCTCTCTCTCTCTCTCTCTCTCTCTCTCTCCCTCTCTCTCTCTCTCTCTCTTGTTCCGAAGTATCAAGTGGCTGCGCCGGCAGAATGCCGCTATTAGATACAATCAGAAAGCTGACGCTGTAAATTGCGACCATTGACTGACCGCCTACACCTTGCGGCCGCCGTTGATGCCGTTGCGCGTTAATCAGATCCATTGTTCTCCGTCGCTTGTCGGGCGATGGCTCTTTCGGCAAGAAACACGTCGCGTAATAAAGAGTGTAACTAGCGGCGCTATTCTTCCTAGACGGAACTTCCCCCCGTCGAGCTTTTGTGTCTCCGCAATTATGATTTTTACAGGTCGCCCGGATTGTGACATTGTCTCGGTTGAACGATTCGGAGCGGCTCTTCGATTTCGCACTAGTAGACTCTATGGTGCGTGTACGTGTGTACGTGATATTAATAAAATTTGTCTACAGGTTTTTACAGAATTTATAGATTTTTTTACAAATTTCACAGATGCAGACAGAAATGGAAGATCGCGTGTTTTTTACGGCGTGTTTTAATTGTTACAGCCGTGTTGCTTGATTAATCATTATTCATTATTCATCGATCATTATTCATGTTATTTAAATAATCATTACGCTCGACGTTGCTCGCAGATTAGCGTCTGATTTCGGATATTAACGTGATGTTAACTAGATCGACGCAATGAGGCTTGCGACCTTTGTCTGTTTGGCGATTCAACTTATACACGCTCGTACAAATTGCAACGCGACGGCGGTGCAGCATCGCGCGAGCGATTCCTAAACGTATCTTTAGATCCGAGGCCAAACAATTAGTCTGCACAAAAACTCTCGCGGAATTGCCGACGCTCGTGCCGACAATCGTACAATTGGTAGCGTGAAAGTTCCTCCGAACGGAATATTGAATCTTAAAGATCCTTCATCAAATTGGAGCGCGCTCGTCTCTCGTGAGTCTGTGGACGTCGCACGTGTCTCCAAATCCACGTGTCGAATAAAGCAAATTTCGGTGAGAACTCGGGAGAAGATTGTTACTCGAGAGAAGCAAAGGGAAACAAAGACGCTGTTCTTATGAGAGCCCCTCAAGCTTCAGCTTGTTGAATATACCGTAATGTTTCGAGGTGAAACTGAACGCACTGAACATATCGTTGCTCAGGCACGGATCGAGTGACGATACGTCACACGAGGAGAAGAATGGTGTCACCAAGTTTACACCAAGTCTCCCTCCGTTTCGGCCTGTAACGCGTCGAAACGTCACACACGGAATCATTAATTACGCGATAAGGTAAGGAGCTTAGAGTTTTAAGTCGGCGGGCCGAGAGGACGCGCGCGTAAATCCCTCCATTGCTCGAGGAAATCGACGGGAACCAGCGAACACGGTAAGTCGCCGGCAGTTCCGCAGGGCTGGCAAGATAGATGAGGGCCGAGGTTATTTAGAATGGATTAATTCGAGCATCCTGTTAATTTAGCCTATCGCATCAATCTTGAACGACCTCGGGCCGAGGCGCCGCCACCGTCATTCGCGAGCGCGCGCTCGTATTCGAGGATTTCAACTTTCGCTTCTCCACTGCTCCTCCACTTCGCGCCTTTCTTCGAAAATGAAGATCGATCGACTTCAGGCAAGTCGACGGCTCGGTTTCGAGGGGCTCCGCCGGGACCCTCGAGACTGGCCCGCCTGGCAGCTGATACTTCATTGTCATAACCGAGGATGATAATATCCTGGCAGGGTTAAGTCCCGCGACTAAATGGCGGCGGGAGAGATATGTTGCCTCATTATGGCAAATTAGGGATTACTCGGAGTATACGGCAAAGGGAAAACGCCGGGAAACGGAATCACGCGCGGGAAACGGATCTGCGAGTTTTGCGAGGGAGCGCGCGTCAAAATTCTGCGTGGGACGCAGAGTCTTGGATCGATCGCCTTTTTAGCGCTGCTCCGCTGAGCTGCCGGCGACGAGGGCGCGTGCGGTGAAAGGTTCCAATATCTCCTCGGAAAAACTTATTTTACACGTATCGCGAATCTCATGTGGTCGTAAACCGAAGATTTATCGAAGATAATTCGCAAGGAAGGAGATTCTGCAAGGACACTCTTTACGCTTTATTTACGAGAAGAGACCGGTTGACTTAACGAGGCCGTGGGACGACCGAAGCGTGATCGTTTTCACTTTCGAAGGGAACAGAAAATTTCCGGTGCACTCTTGTGCACCGAGTTTGAAGATGAGAATCCCGAAAGCAAAACGCGCTCGCGGTTCGTTCATCATCGTTCGTTAATTCAGCCGGTCTTTAAACCCTCCGTGTTTGATGAAGAGTCCGCGTTAGTCTCGACTCGATGAGTTTTGGCAAGATCCTTCGCGGAAGGAGCATGCAAAGCGAACGGCAGGATTCTGATGATTTAGGCGAACGAAACTGCTTCGAGCCGTTTGACTCGGCGGATAATCGATAGGGCGATTTTTCTTTTCTTCGCGATGCCGAGGCGCATTACCGGAATTGATCTCGGCACATTAGTTACCGGGCGTAATATATCCGCCGCTGCCATTTAATTATAGGGACTTTGCGCGACTTGAGCGCGCGCGCGCGAAGAACGTCCCTCAATGAAATTAATCAGCGAATCCGTTGCCGTTGGGGAGAGCCGCTGATAAGTATAAACTCGAGCGCGTACAACTTTTGTTTGCGATGCTCGTCAAGTATTAACGCGTCCTACTACGTTCTACGTGCGCGACTATCCCCCATAGTTGCCGACCCGCCAAGTTTTCAGTTAGCGAAGTTAACACGCAGTTACCGCGATATTAAAAGCTAATATCCGAAAGCTGGATGTTCCGGAAATCCGGAGCTAAACCCAGAATTACTTGGCTGCATACCGAGAGAGAGAGAGAGAGAGAGAGAGAGAGAGAGAGAGAAATCCCGGCGGCGAGCGCTATCGCGATATTCCCATCCATTAAATGCGCTGATTATCATTTTTACTCCTCAAGTCCTACTTTTTCTCAAGTGTTTTCTGCGTCAGGACTCGCGCGCAGAGTTCCGTCGAAGACACGCTTGTCGAGAGCTTCGATTCTCGCTTGGACCGTCGTCGTCCAACGCGAGTTCCGCCGCAAATCACCGCAGAATTCTCAAACGATGCCCTCTTTGTACCTCGTAAGCAGTGTAATAAAAAGTCGCGTATCTGCCACCTTCATATCTCATTTTCCGAAGACGAGACAAACCGACGAAATCCGCCGAGCTCGTCCAACTCTTCGCTCGAGTAATCTCTCTCTCTCTCTCTCTCTCTCTCTCTCTCTCTCTCTCTCTCTCTCTCTCTCTCTCTCTCTCTCTCTCTCTCTCTCTCTCTCTCTCTCTGATAAGCATCTGATGAGTTTCAGCCCAAACGCTAGATCAGAAACGCGCTTGCGATCATACATCCCACCGTCCTATTTATCCGTAACGCGGGAGTCCATTATCTAACGGCTCCGAGCCGGAAGGGGGGGGGAGGAGGGAAGGGTGTTATGAACTACCACGACGCTTACCATAATACAGCCGTCCGAGCGCAGTTTACAATTTCGCCAGGACTCCCTGTCTTCGAACAAGGGCGAAGCAAACGGCGCCGTTTTACATGGCAATTTTCGCCGAGCACGCATGCCCTCTCTCACCTCCCCCCTCCGACCCCCGCGAATTCTCGGCGCGCGAAGCACCGCTCTCTCCAAAGTTATTTGTCTTCAGGAACGCGATGAAACTTTCAACGGCGCTATTTAAAGTTGGCCTATCGCGACAAGCTGCGCTCCCTTCGTTACAGTCCGGGGAGCCGCGGGGGCGAGGGGGATGCACTCTTCCTGACAAACTCCAAGTATATCTTAGCTCGGGTTATGTTGTTCGCTCATTCGGTTCGCTAACTTCGTCGGCGCGTTGCATTGTTCGCGTTACGAGGCGTCATTGATCGATCTCGCGTGTCGCATCGACACGCGAGATCTACGACAAATTGTTCACACGTGCCTTTTTTTCCTCCCCCTTCGCGCGGGAATTAATCTCGTTCGCATTGTCGTGCTCCCATCAGTGGCGAAAATGGAGAATGGCGCCGACGCGGGCGCGGGCGCGGTCACGTGCCGCGATTTTAACGAAGCCTCGGCGAACGCGGTAGATGTCACCGCGCCGGTTCTCGTCAGAACAATCCGGGGGCGTTATAGATGTGGCTATCAGAAATTCTTTCGATAAAGTAGCCGAGTATCGTTATTGCTTCTGATGGTATTGGAGGTCGCGCGGGAGCGCCCGGTTATCCCCGCGCCAGCGCGCTCGCCGCAAACTGATGGACATTTCGCGGATTCTTTCATGAAACCATTACCCCAATCGAGCGGGCGGGTTGGTCGCTCTCTCCCCCTCCCACATATCCCCCCGCCTCCCACGTGTCCGTACACGTAACGATCGCTCGTTTACGTTATATACAGCCTGCAATTGGACATAGCGCGCCCCAGAAACGCCCGACGCGAAATAGCCGGAAAGTTTTCTTCGAGAGCTCCGATAATATTTGCCGGTCGGTCTTCGTTCGACAGTTTCGCCGGTGAGATAGGAGAAGGAGTCGCGCGCGAGGACGTCGTCCTTTTGTGCGCTGCGTCGCGTTCGTGATTTGTCGTTGACGCCGCGATCAGACGCGCAAACGACGGCGACGTTTCGTGGCTGACGGCTGAAATTGGGCGAAAAACGCCTCTCGATCGAATATCACGTATCGCGGGGGCGCGCGAGGAGGCCGCGGACGATCGAAAGCTGCGCTTTCGATCGCCGATAGGGCGATGCCGGACGCGGAGTTGCGTCGGGCGGAAACGCGCACGTTGCTGATTCATCGGGCGATCGTTACGTCTTATCTCGGGCGCGGCCGGCATCTCGCTCTGGTCGAGGTGTCACCCCGCATCTCGCCTCGCGATGTTAAAGATCACAGGCACATTAAGTCACGTCGAAGGGAACGTCGACGCTATCAATCGATCTTGACGTCGTCGTGGCGCTTCGCAGCGGCGAGACGGACGCGATCAAGACGCGGTAGCCGGGCGGCGCGATTTCTTTCGTATGATAACACCGTAAACTTCCGTCGGAGGGGAAAGCTCGAACGTGGTTAGCATCCGAGGATTAAGCCGAAATATTCTTCCCCGCGGCGAAATCGTCGCAGGGGGCGGGGAGATGGAGCGCGGGCACGCGAGCGAGGGGCCGCATCCAATCCGTCAGGGAAACGACGCCGAACTTTTGAGCGGTTTATTCTAAATCTTAAACAGCGCAAGCCGGATGGAAGCGGCTGCGTCTTAGCATAGTAAAGGCGTTAAGAAGTTTATAAAAGTTGAGATTGAAATCGCGAGCGAGGGAGAAAGAGAGCGAGAAAAAAAGAGCGAGACGACTCCGACGAGGACGCGGACGAACGGCCGCGGCGGCAACGCGCAAAATGCGTCATCGCAGCCAACGCGTTTGTCGCTCTCTTTGCCCGCTCAGCCTTGCCCGATTTTTTACGGCCTTTGTTGCGGCGAAACGAAAGTTAAACGCACCGACGAGCGTGCGCGAAAAAGAGAGAAAGAGAGAGAGAGAGAGAGAGAGAGAGAGAGAGAGAGAGCGCACACATCGATATCCCACGCGTCGTTCCGTAAAACGCGCGTCTCACGCGCGGTTATTTTTCCCGTGACTAACTTCAAGCGACGCGCGGCTGACGCACGCTGACGCTGTAAATTAGATAAAGAGATAAGCGCGGGCAAACGCGAAAAATAGAGGAGACGTGAAATTAAATCCGACAGCGCACGAAACGCGCGGACAGCCACTATTAAATTCTCCTTCGGTGAACCCTTCGCCGGAGGAGGGGGGGGGGATGCGGGGTTATATGCATATTTATGTGTAAAACACACGGGCTGAATAAGTGCGGCGATAAATCAGGAGATACGAAGACGTAATTTACGCGGACGCTCGCAATTGAGCAACCTGTCTGAATTGCGGGCAAGGAAGGGCCGTGCGAACGCGACGCGACGCGAGGAACGGGAACGCATCCTGCGTGATACGCGTTTCACCGGGTTCAAGGTTAACGAGTATGCGACGCGTCGAGTAGAATAATAAGGGCGTAACCAGCCGGTGTTTATCTCCGGGCTGCACTGACACGCTGACATTTCCATTCGCTCCCACCTCGGTTTTCGAAAACAGCTCACGAACTCGCTCGACGCGCGCGAAAGGAACTTCGCGAGACTCTCGATGTAACGAAGCAATTTGGCGGGGACGTCCCGCTCGGTCGGGAAACGGCAAATTCTTAACGCATTTAATATGTTACCGTCTGCTCTCTCGTTGCTCTCAATGTTCGATCGAACCCGCGTGGAAAGGAAGAAGAGGATGAATGAGAAGCGAACGCGGACGGCGATACGTCGAAAATCGTGTCGTAGGTCGTGTCGCACGCGCCATTAATTCGCAAATATTCCCTTCGCTCACTGCTACCCCTTCGACGCGTTGCGAAAGTGACAGAAGAATTTTTCGCACGTCAAGAACGACGCGCGCGACAAAATGTTCGGGCAGATGAGGCCGCGATCACCGGACGAAACGTACGAGGAAATAATATTAATTGTTCCACTGTGGAGATATATATGATGCATGTTTCATAATAAATATGTATATATATATATATATATTTGTGTGTGTGTATGCCGATGCATTCTAATATGTAAATTTGATCATATTGCGAATTCCGCGCATTGATTAGCGTAACGCGTTGTGTCGTCCGCAACGCCACTGAATAACTCCTGAACATCGTCTTCTGTTTACACCGTTCCGATGATTAATTCATGCGCGTCATCGGAATACAGCCTGCGCTTGTTCACGCCCGCAATATTGCACATGCAGCAAGAACGACGAGTAGCGAGATGACTCTTGGCTAAATCCGCCAAGAAGTGGCTGTGCGCACGCGCGCGCGCAATGCCATACAAAAATGTAACAATATACGACAACGATCCCCTCGATATAATCGTCAAATTTCACATAACGATACGCAATTTGACAGGTATACATTTTGCTGTGATGTATTCAAGCATACGCAAAAGTCAGGCCGACGAGAGCCACCACCGGACGCGATAATTTAATCCGCCGCGGAATGTGATGATGTTTCACGAAGCAACGCGATACGCGCCGGAGAGCTTTCCGGTCTTTCCGACTCGTCGTTTCTCGGCCCGTTGATAATTGGGATTTTCTCGTGAAGTAATTAGCCTAAAGTTTATATGATTCCAGCGAGAGGCGTTATTTGATTAAAAGCGAAGCTCGACACTTTCTTAGACGACTGGAACTTGTTCTCGGTATCCAGCTCGTCTCACGACCGCGAATTACTCGGGATTGCAGAGCTATCTTTCGACGCAACGAGACGCCAAAGCGACGAAACTTTAAGCGACATCATTAACGCCCGATGGAAGCAATTTGTCTGCAAGATGGAGTGGATCTCCCGATGTTCTTTCCTGCCGGCGTCTCGAGAAGACGCGACGACAACGTCGTCGTCGACGACGACGACGACGACGACGTCGTCGTCGTCTCCCAACTTCTGATCGCGCGAGCTGCCAGTAATTCGATTCCCGTCGGCCACTTCCATCGAGCGTTAATCGACCGACGGATTTCGAGACGCGGAAAAAGCGAATTCGCGCGACGAGACGGCGCGGGCGGGCGTGCTCGGCCGCTCCTCTGGCCCGGGATCTCGTTTAATTTATGAACGCGCAATTAAGTCGACCGCTTCTTGCGAGACCGGGTCAACCCGCCCCCTCGCCCCGAAGCCGCCGCGACATCACGCAACTTTCCAGTTCCGCACCGTCGCGAGTTCTGCTTTCACTTCGTAAATTACTTACGAGCCATTTCGCGCGGCCGCTATCGCTTCCGAACGTTATCGGCCGAGATGAGCGAGCGAGCGGGGTCTCTTGTACTCGAGGACTCGTAATATGGAGTGTGCATATGCACGTGACAACAGCCCTCCGTCTGGCAGAGAAGTGGAGGAGCACCGAGAGGAGCGCGAAAGATCTTTTTTTTCCTCCAGAGGAGAAAAGCTCGGAAAAACGCCGTAACCTCGTGCGGGCGAGCGAGCGCTTTTTCGGGGTGATTTACAAGTAAATAGATGCGGATGAATCCGACCGCAAACGATTTGTGCGCGATTAAACTTTGATCAAGGCATTAACAAGATTAATTTCAATAAACGTATGTGCTCACCGCCCCGTGATTGAGTGCTCGGGCGACGAATAAATTATCGACGTATGCCGCCAATTAGATTATCTCTGTTCCATTAAATTATCCGGCGATAGTAAATCGATCACGAGTTTGACCGGTCCTAATTCGTAGTCACTGAAAAGAAGCTGAGATTGTCGGGAAGTTACCGGGGAGAGAGAAGTGAAAACGTAATCTATTTGGCTCGATCGCCAGTAGATTACCGTCCGTAGAAGTTTTAAGTAATTGAACTGATTTGGTTTCTTGAGAGAACTTCTTCGTCTGAGATTCGTATAATTACGTCGTTTATACAGATTTCCATTTAATTAATGATCAACATTGACCTGACCTAATTCGCACGTGTCGATTTCTAAATTGTTCACATTCGTTAAAAATCTTTCGGCGATCTGCGACCAAGAGTCTCTTCATATCGTCAAACAAGACAGATTACTTTATCCTTCCTCCACAGGGAGGAACACGTAACAATTGCATTTGTACTCACAGGTAAGAGTCCTCTTGATCCCACGTAACTATCTCAGTCACGACGAAATAGCCGGATGTGAGGGCGGTGGCGGTCGGATTGTCGCTGGTTGCATTGGTAACCAACACAACGTGTCTCCAATCGCTGCCATCCTTTTGCTTCTGCGGCAATATCAGGATAAACGACGTACCGTCGTCGCTGAAAACAGGCGCTTCGAACTGCTCCACCCAGCCACTTTTCTCGCTGTACGAGAGCGCCTGGTGACAGAGCGAGCGTTCCTTCGTCAGTAAATTGCATTCCTCGACGATGTTTAATTAAATAGCATACTTTTTGCAATCAAATATTTCTTTGCCGTATCAACATCTCACTTTTGACTCGTTACTCGCGAGTAAGAATGTCACTATATGGAGTTGATAATAAAGACATCGTCAGGAGAAAGGACATTGCGAATATTTTCTCTCTTTGACGACTTTGTAGAAAAAACATATGCGGAGTCAAAAATGCTAATTACGGCCCTTTATCGGACGTATTTATAAAGCCGCGCGCTTTCGCTTCCTCTGTGAACATTCTTTTGATACAGCCGACGCGTGCAAAATATCTCGCGGAAATATCGTTTCTCGCGGGATTAATCCCGCACAAGCGGAGATTAATCCCGCGTTTACATAATCCAGGCGTGCGTGAAATCCTCCGATACTTGGGAATTCGTATAACGGCGAAATTTCGTAAGAAACAGTTACGAGAGGGGGGCGACTCGCGGAACTGCGAATTAGCCAGCCGCCGGCAAGTGCGCGCTAATTAAAATACTATTGCCCGACTGAAGGAGCGGCCGCCTAAATTAAGATCCGCGCGAACTCTCTCTCTCTCTCTCGCAAGGACGACAAGGAGCCCGTGCGAAGCGGCATATCAAACGAGCGCCGGAGCCGACACCGGGCCGGAGGGACGGTAGATTGTTCGCGCTTGAGGGATGAGGAAGTACCTACTGTCGTGCAATTTGGCAGCAGGTTGTCGACGTTACAGAGCTGGAAATACGCCTTGTTCTGCACCCGGTTCATCCAAGTCGCGTATACGAGCTCGTCTGTAGGAAAGTCCACCGCCGACAGGACCCGCTCCGCGTTGGACAGCTCCGGCGGATGTTCGATCTCCACCAAGGTCATATTGCCCAGCACCACCATGTCCAGATCGACGCAGAACAACTTCACCGTCGGATTTATCGTGCCGCTCTGAAACAAAAGGGAGACGGACCTCTCACTCTCTTCCTCTCTCTCTCTCTCTCTCTCTCTCTCTCTCATTGTCGAGCTACGACAACGTCGATGGGACTGATAACGACGGTTATCGGAGAAACCAAGCGGAAAGATGGACGAAGGAGGAGAAGAGAGATATATCGTTTTTTCCTTCTTACCGGTAAAAGAGAACAAGAATATCCAATCAACCAAGTACGATGAGCGGGAGGTGAAGGGGATAACGGTATAGTACAGTATAGTATAGTATCGTGCAGTATAATATATTGGGTGTACAAATTAGTTCGGTCCGTTTTCAAAAGATGGCTCCAGCTGTTATGAATGATTCATAGTGACTGCCGATTTTGGTAGTTTCAAAGAGGTTAGACATCTGCCAATAATATTCAGTTTATATCGCTTTGAGTTTCATACAAAAACCTTGCTTTTTACAGCGTTGAAAATGTCGAATTTTGTGTTAACCAAGCAGCATTTGCGGGAGATTTTAATTTTCTGCTTTAATTGGAAGAAAAGTGCAGCTGAAGCCCATCGAATGCTTGTTGAAGTTTATGGTGACGCTGCTCCAACTGATAAATCATGTAGGGAATGGTTTCGACGTTTCAAGGATGGAGATTTCAGCGTCGAAGACAAGCCTCGCTCTGGACAGCCAAAAAAATTCGAGGACAAAGAATTAGAGGCATTACTCGAAGAAGATCAGAGTCAAACGCAAGAGGAGCTTGCAGAATCATTGGGAGTGACTCAACAAACCGTTTCCGTGCGATTGAGAGACATGGGAATTATTCGAAAACAAGGAAATTGGGTGCCTTATGAACTGAAACCGAGAGACGTTGAAAGGCCTTCTTCATGACAACGCTCGGCCTCATGTCGCAAAAGTCGTAAAAAAATATTTGGAAACTCTCAAATGGGATGTTTTACCGCACCCGCCGTATTCTCCGGACATTGCTCCTTCTGATTAATGGTTGTTCCGAAGGATGCAGCACGATTTGGCAGGTCACCGGTTCACTTCTTTCGCAGATATCGAAAATTGGCTCCAAACTTGGATCGCCTCAAAAGACGAGTCATTTTTTCGAGATGGAATTCGAAAATTGCCTGAGAAATGGGAGAAAGTAGTAGCCAGCGATGGAAAATACTTTAATTGATCTGTTCATTCATTTTGTTTTCAAATAAATACATCTTTTAACACAAAAAACGGACCGAACTAATTTGTACTCCCAATAGTATAACATTACAGTACTGCATAATATTGTGCACCAATACAATGAGCGACTCGTAATCTCTTCGGCCTTAATCCCGATGGAAGGTTCTTCTTCGTAATTAACTTAGGATCGAGTGAGCGAAAAATTGAAATTCTTCCGCTCTGTCGAACTGATTTTTGTATAATATGTAATCCGGTTCCGCGGGTGAGGAACGTCGTGCTAACGCGTGGTAGCTTTGCAGAGAGCGAGAGATGCAAAGGCCAAGTTCTCCCGCGTGTATTATTACATCGCGTATATATATATATATTTACGCGAGAAATGCAGTTACCCTACAGAGTGCGTAAAGTTGTTTGCAAGCTTGTTTGCGCGAGGAAATGTTTTAATGAAATTGGAAACATAAATCTTCGATTCTGCCCGCCATGGGGCTGTTTCTTTACTGATAACTTTAAATGCACTGAAATCTCGTCGTCCCAATGCTGAAAATTTTAATGACAATCTTGTTTAATCTCAGAACGCGAGGAGCTATAATCGCCGTTCACAGTGCTTATCCGTTTGTCGGCCTCGGCGATATTCCATTAATATTAATTCGCCAAGCGTAAAGCGATACCTGCTTCACGAAAATATAACACGATGCAGTTGGATTCAATTGCCTTCGCTTAGCCGTTTGTCCTCAATTTAAGGGTAGTTCCCCCTCTGATCACTTTTCAGTAAATTACAGAATTTTCTTACTTCCGCTCGAACTTTCTGCAATGCTTTCTGTCAACAAGTAACGTTCATGACCGGTAGATATGGAAACTTTATTACGATTAACTTTATTACACATTAATATTACTCAGTGCGGCCAGGTAAATTTAACGCAATTCATTAATTCAGACTAAATTCTTCATACAAAGAAAATAATTACAGTGTAAATGAATTCTCGGTCATTGTGAAACAATATTTATAACTCTGCTTACATTTTGCAATCACGTTAGCTAATTACACGTGAAATATCGATTTTATATAAATTAAGGGAATTTAAATGAATTTATAAATTTATAATTTATCATCTGACAATTAAAAAGGAATTTGTAACGTTTATTCGATAAAACACGAGAATTTTTAAAATAAATATTAATTATGCGTATTTAATATAATGTTTTCCAAACAACAAATTTGTTATCATATAAGCTATATATATATATATCCATTTAAAAAATGTAGGATAAAATTATTTACTCGATTTATATGATCTCTCGATCCATCTGCATTTTATTATAACTTCCGCAATACGGTATTCCGCGAGAATATAAATATTCGCGGCGACGTCTCTTGTTTATTTAATATAATATTGTTTTCTTGTTCGAAATGGACATTTATGCAATTCCGCTCGTCACAATTGGCATCGCGACTTTGATCAGAATTCGAATAAACAGAGTCTCCTTTACGTCTTATCAAAATATTGCTCGAAGCCTGAGATGTAATGAAGTCTTAGATGGAAGAAACCCAGATGAATGTACATTAATGCTTTCCTCCGGGGAAATGACAGAATAGCGGTTTGCGCATCGGGCGAAATGAATCACTCAGCTGACGAGCCGGTGACTTTAATCCATCCTTGGTTGCAAGTTTATATACTTATAAAGTCGCTTCTCTCAGATGGCAATGGAACAAAACGGAATAAAACTGCACGTCAAACTTTGAATTCCATCGCGCGCCGGGAGAGAAATCAATTCGTACGGAACTTCGCTCGAGCATACGCGAAAGCAAGAAAAATCCCCGAGGAATAGTGTATCTTTCGCAATCGCCATTCCGATCTTCCCGTTCGAGCGATTGTGTCATAAGATACTTCGAAATAATAAACAAATCATGTACGCACTGAAAGACGAAAGGAATTTAAAATTCCAACATATATCATAATACATAAAAACATAATTGTAAGAAAAGGAAAACAAAGACGTTAACAAAGACGTCGCAAACATCAGTCAATCATAAATCACGACGCGTCGTCAACAAACAACGTTAGGAAACATTCGATTAGCAGTCCAAGCAAGCATAAGAATAGAAATCGTAAAAACTGAAGCCTAGTTAAAGTTTACGGCGAGTTGGCGACGTCTGAAAATCATTGCGACGAACGTTACAATCTCTTACGATCGATGTTGCAATAGATGTGAACTAACCTATACAGTGGCGCGAAGACGATTCCATCGCGAGGGAGAGAGAATCCGTCGTGTTTCCCGCTTCCCGAATTTACGGCAAAGTTTCGCGGCGGCAAAGATCGTCTTCCAAATCGGCGATCAAAGAGCGACACAAACCAAGTACGAATATTACGTATTTTCTGTATCGTCAATTATATATATTCTGCCTGCGTCTTGACTTCGAGCGAGCTGTGGCGCTTCGAAATTTCGACATCTCGAACTCTCGCGCTAGTAGCTCGCGCTGCCGCTAGTTGGCGCCGGCTGTCGCGTTGCGCCAGCCGGCAGCACGTGGGCTGGCGAAGCAGGTCAATGACCGCAAAGGTCGGCCAGCTGATGCAGCGTATAGTGGGGGTAGGTCGGGGACCGTCGCGCTACGTGATAGAATGCGGTCCTATCTTCTTTTCGAGAAGCTCCGAGCGAACGCAAGGCGACTTAAGCCCGTGTCACACTACGGATTGAAGATCAAGGATCGCGGATTGAAGATTGAAATTTGATCAATCGGAATAAAGCAAATCAAAACCGAAGTTCGTTGATTTGTCGAAATCTAATCTTCATTCCGCAATCCTTGATCTTCAATTCGTAGTGTGACACGGGCTTTAAGGTCATTCTACAATACACATGTACATATGTGTACGTGTCGTAAGTTGTAAGCCGTAAGAATTGGCGAATCACAGTCGATTATTACAAAAATAATCGGCTATAATTGGTCAGTTCTTACGGCTTACAACTTACGACACGTATTGTAGAATGACCTTCAGCTTCGAGGGCGATCGACGGCGCTGCCGCTCGATACAAATGTCGATGTAACTCTTCGTTTCTAGACGTCATAGAGACTTTGATATAAGAACCATTGGAAAAAGCTAACATCCATATTCATAGTCAGGCCTTATATGTATTTAAGTACTTCCTTAAGTTTATCTTCAAATGGTCTGTAGCCAATAAAATAATCCGTGCAGCATCTAAAGATGGATATAAGGAGGTCTCAAATATAAGGCCTGATTATGAATACGGAGGTATTAGACTCCCGTGCTTCTAATAAGCGTGCAGTTGTTTTTCTCAGAAATGAGGGTCAATTAACATAGCTGAGCTACTGCGATAGAGAAAATCGATAATCGAGTTGACGGGGAAATTGATCTACGATAGAAAATGTGAAACTTTTGATGAAATGAGTAATATTGCAAAACATCGACTCTTCGGTTTCTTGTTTTTTTTAAGAAACATGCGACCGCAAAAAAGAAAGACGAAATAACGAACAGGAAAAGGAAAGACGAAGAAACGAAAATAAAAAATACTGTCCTTCTTCACTGTGATATTTTTGGAAATGCGTCCAATCTGTCTCGCGAATTTGCGCGGACAAAAGGCAATGTATAAAAACGTATATATTAGAATTTGTGCGTTGCGACTAAAACTGCGGCTGTCGTCGACTGAAAGGACAAGAATGTTATTCAAAGGTCAACTCAACGACGAATATTCTTCCACGCTGCATTATTTCTTCGCAGCGACGTTAATCGTGAGTCATAAAACGGCATTGAAAAATGCAAAGGTGTCGCGCGTTCACACTGCTCTCCTCTTTTCATGATGCAAACTTTCGGTTAGATGGCTTTTCATATCTCGGACGGTCGCGCGGTGCAGAGGTTCGCGAGGACACAAAGTGAAAGAGACGTTTCTGAGAGCGTCTAACGTTTAGGGAAATGCTGCCTTTTAAAGTGACATTATGTTTTCCTCTTTAGGAATCTCATTTCCCGTAGATGCGCAAATAGAAGAACAGGTAATTAGAATAGCGCGCACGAAATACGCGAGATCTGTGACAAGCGTATCGCGAGTGTAAAAATATGTTGATGAAAAATACATGGCATATTACGGCGGAAGTAAAGTATATTTATATCCGCCCGTGATATTTGTATAAAATATTGAAAAAGAAATTATGAAGAGCACACATAAAATATTTCGTGATTTAACATATGATATGGTACTTCAGAACCTCCAATGCAATTCACACAAAGGTGTTTATTGATCGAACATTCCGAAGATGACAAAATACGATAAAGTACAGACTTACCTTAGGGTAGTGGATCGGTATCGCCGAAGTGTATTGGAAAGTCAAGCTTCCGGGATATCCATAAAACGGTATGTTCATAACAGGGGTGTTCGAGTCATCGAAATAGCCGAAGACCAATTTATTGCCGCTCGGAGAAAACCAAAGCGCCGCGTTCGAGTTGAACACCTCCTCTGCAACAAAATAAATGCGCAAGAAATTAATCGCACGGTCAACGTTTCATACACACATGTGCACATACATATACATAGTAACCTACTTTTTTCTCTCATCTCGCTATTTGAAAAAAAGAAAAAAAATATATATATAAAGCCAATGGTAAAAACTCGATGAGAAAATTATCGTGGATAGTGACGCCATATTTTTTTACAGATTTCGGCTAAACTCCGCGATATTGTTGCGTTAAGAGCGAAGCGAGAAATTGTGACGACCTCGTTTCGTTCTCGTAAAGTTCATAAGCAAAGTTCATTGCGGATATTCCATCCGGTTTAATTATAGAGCGCGCCAGCGTCTAAGGTACATCCACGATTCGCAGGGTCTCATCCTTTTTCCCCTGTTAGGGGGATGATAAATAAAGCATAAACAAGAAAGGAAGAGATTTCTGTTTGAATATCGTCACCCTTGCACTCTTCTTTACAGAGACTCTCGCATGATAATCTCCTCGCTTGAAGCACTAGCATGTGATGGGAGTGATTTTCAGGCCTTTGAAAGTTTACGCATTGAAGCCCATGAATTACATGAAATGTTATATCCCAGCAAAATTAATTATAATAGTAATAAAGTGTAAAATAAAATGGAACAGGAAGCTACAATTTTGCGCAATTATTTTTCATATCGTACGAATACATAGAATATAAATGTACACGCAATCCGAATATTTGATTTTTATTATATTTTGCCAGAATAAAAAAGAGGAAAGAATTATATTTCATACCGCACACTACAAATCAATTAAACAAAAATTTTCCGTAATAATGTTCGTCTCTTTGTGCGCAATAATCATTTGTTTGCAATCCCTTAGAATAGACGCCTGTCTTTTAGCTTTTTACGCTGGAAACCAACTGGTTTCCAAGGATACCGGAGCTACCGCCGTTTCAATGTTAATTTCCCGTTAAGCATCCGATTAAAGAACTCACAGAGTCCGGACAATTCCTTACAATGAGGAAACGAGCAATCGTAATCAAGCTCCGTCCCAGTCGTAAATTTCGCGAGCAAAGAAAGTTCAGCCCCGAGATTATCCAACGTATTGCATAATTATGAAGCTTGACTAAGCAGGCGGATGCATTTCCGCTCTCCTATTATTGTGACATAAATAAAGCGTAATGCGAGGAGCAGACTCGATTAAACTTCTGCATTTGAATGCTCGCGTGTTTACTTCCTGCGATTATAGTTGTACGACAAAGTGAATCTTCGATGGAAGTGTCAAGAACACAGAGAGAGAAAGAGAAAATGATAGAGAGAGAGAGAGAGAGAGAAAGAGAGAGAGAGATTCTAAGAATTTCTTTAAAAATTTCCTAATTAAAACGGAGCGAACAAAATTTATCATACTTTATTTGAATTGAATTTCATCTGCCTTTGATCGAGATTAAAATTTTTCACTCTGCGGCAAAGCAGACAACAAAGTTGACCGACGTTAAAACTGAAAGAAGCGCTCACCATGAATTTCCTTTCGTTCAACCACGTCTTGATAAACAAAGTGCAAACGTTCGGAAAGGATCTTCCTAGTCAGCGCTAATGTCACTTTTTCCACACTTCGCAAATAAAAAGCCCCGCAACAAAGGGAGCTTGTTCCCTCGCACCGGTTCGAGGGAAAATTGCTGATGTAATAAGCGCGGGTTCATAGAGCGTGCACGGGAATGTCGGAAAGGAGCCGGGCGAGTTACGAGGGAACCGAGCGGAAACTCTTTATTTCATTTCCTCTCGAAAAAGAGGCTGGTTCGCGGACGCGCAGAATGACGTAAATATCCACTTTTCGAGCCGCGAAGAGTGGAGAATGTCTGCGAAAGTGAAAGAAGAAAGAAGAAAGAAAACTGGCAAAGGGGAGAGACAGTGGCGGATTAATCCTAGGATGCATCCGAGGATCTCGAGACGATGGTTCGTCTCAGAGAGTATCGCGAGAAAGAAAGAGAAGAGAGCGATTACGAAAAACTTAATTTAGATCTAGACAACGGGGTATTAGTTTAAGGCAGTTTAAAGATTATTGGAGAAAGAGAGAAGGAGAGAGGGAGAGAGAGAGAGAGAGAGAGAGAGAGAAAGCGCGATCAAATTTAAATAAAAGTTAAAAAGAAGATTCTGTGAGTAGGGAGATACTGATACTGCAAGATCTACGCGTGTAGTAAAGACACCTCGTTCTATGCATCCTAAAATTGAATCTAATTTCGACACCGCTCGTACTTGAGATGTACGTTAAAAGTGCGGAACATCCCGCATTTAAATATAATGAGTTTGGAGAAAACTAGAAACTATATATTATAGAGTTACAGCCCATGTCCGGAATTTCGCGGAATTTCTCATTCTTGACCTCTTCTTTACGCACGGTTAAAAACTACTTATTTTTTAAGCACTCAGTTAACGTCTCATGTACATCTACGTGCAAATCCGCCCTTGAGAGATAAAGTCGGGAAAATAGGGGAAGTTAGCATATTTTGAGAATGTCGGCGGGACCTTTGAGACCGGGTTAGATTCAGCTAGTCGACGTTGCGAGACGGGAAGGAATCGCGAGAGAAGGTAAAAAAGCTCTCGCAAACATGAAAGAGAAGAAAGGAACAGAGGGACGAGACGGAGAAGGGAAGAATGAGAAAAGGTCGAGTAAGGGAGAAAGAGAGAGAGAGAGAGAGAGAGAGAGAGAGAGAGAGAGAGAGAGAGAGAGAGAGAGAGAAGAGAGAGAGAGGGGGGAGGGAGAGAACGGGAGAGAAAGGTGGTGGAAGAAATGCCGCGACGAGGAAAGAAAAGTGCACAAAGACGCGGTGCTGCGTTGCGCAGCTCGCTGGACGTGATGAGGGAGAAAAATATCCTGAGGATGAGATTCCGAGTGGGTGAGCTGGATGTGTGTGTATATGTTGGTAGTTGTGTATGTATGTGTTCAAGACTGCGACGACCGACGGGGTGAAGGAAGCCGTCGGATCTGAATGGAGGGGCATGCGGGGGAAAACAGAGCCGAACGAAAGGCTCGACCCTCATTGAGTGATAGACTCACCTGATAAATCCGCTCGGCCGACCAATTATTTATGCCCTGCAACGAACTTCTCTCCTCTCACATCTTCGCCCTTCTCTCTCTCTCTCTCTCTCTCTCTCTCTCTCTCTCTCTCTCTCTCTCTATCTCGGTCTCACTGATATCTCGACGCGGGTTACGGAAATCCGAGTTATCCTCTCGGGGGCAGTAGTTGTCGTCATACGTCGCGTTCCAGCACGAACTGTTTCCACGTGCGGAGCGCGAAATGCGTCGCGCGAGGAAATTACTTCGAAACGTAACTCTGAGCAAATTCTGCGTCTCGGCAAGGTGTGTAAAAACAAAGTGGGAGAGGGCCAACGGAATATACCCCCCGGTTGTTTTTCGAACACACGCAACAAGTAGTTTACGAGCAACGAGCGTTTAATTAATTAAGGCGCAGGACAAGCGATTAACGCTGGCTCCGCCACCAGCGAGAAGTCCTCAACGCGATACGTGACGCGGCATTTGCCGCGGACATATCGTTCAGCGCGGTATCGCGCATTGACGACTCCACCACGGTAGACGCTCGGAAGGGTTAAAGCAAACTCGGAGAAAAATTGCGAGACTCGTACAATCCCTCTTCCCATCGAGATTGTCAAACACGCCGCGGGAGAAGGCGAGCGAGATAGCGCGCGGCGCGACTCCATCCTACGCAGAGGGGGAAACGTAAAACCTGCCCGCCGCATTTCGCCGTCGTGTTTACGGTTTGCAACAGTAACGCATATTCCATGCAGAGAATATAAATCCTGCGTGAAGACGTTTCCATCGTGGGAGTATCCTCGCGGCCCGCTCGTCGCTCTCGGCGGCGCCAGCCGAGAAAGGAAACATTTTAGAATCCGATCAGAAATCGGAATCCTGTGAAGGGGCGGTGCCATTAGCGAGCCGGGATTTGGTGAAAAGGATTTCTCTAAATCCCCGCCGCTCTATTAATGTCCGCCATCTGCCATTGTTGAAAGAAGTAGAAAGCACGGATTTCCATCTTACGAGGGATGTATTAGTGCTCGCTGCGAGCGAGCGAGCGAGCGAGCGAGTGAACGAGCGAGTGAACGAACGAACGAGCGCCAGATCTTCTGGTTAAATGACGATTCCGCGGCTACTCAATACTTTGTCTTCGCATCGGTAGATTCAACTTGAATTAAACCGGTAAACAGACGCGGGAAGGCAGAATGGAACGGTTGTAATTGCACTGAGACAGGAATCGCTCGGCATTTGCGCGATCACGACTGCATGTCGAAATAATTCGAAACACGAAACCGGTTTTACAGCACGTGTCGCTATTACGCGTCGTTGCTAACCGTACATGTTGCTATTATTACTCTCTCCGTTAAAACATACTCTCTATGGAAACATGTTTTCCCTTCAGTGCATCCTTTTCCAGTTTAATTACGCCGAGTCACATTTATTACGGCTTTCGTATCTGGAACCGTGAGACGTCGCGAGACAAGAGTCAAGAGGAAATTTTACGTCAATTAATTGTACTTATAACGTGGTATCTCGCGCAAAGACCTGTCGGGAGACAAGCGTTGTAATTGATCAAGTAACACAGCAGTGAGGTAGACTGGATCGTTGCACCGCGGCAAAACACCTTCAATAATTAATCCACCATCTTCTGCCGGCACGGAATGCGCTTGACACATGGTCTACCTTCCACAAATTTCCCGTACAGCCGGGCTTTTACTCATTTACCGTGTAATTTACTGTGGTATCGCCATAACTGCAAGATATGATATCGTCATCAGTATCTATACCTTGTAACGTAATAACCCGCTCTGCGGTAATCGAGTTTATTACATTCTCGATACGTTTATTATAAATTTCCACGTGTATGTCGAGCGAAGAAGAATATTAAATATTAAAACGACAAGAGAGAAAAATATTAAGGAACTATCATGTGAGAAAAAACGTGTAGTAAATTTATATTAAGATATAAAATATCAATATGATACGCATATTGAATATCGCGATAATTAATATTGAAACCGAGATAACATATCTTTTTGCAAAAGTTTGTTCACGAAACGATTACTAAAATAGAGGGAATTATCTCTTCACATGTGTGTGTGTGAAAATACCGAATTCCAGGCTCTGAATTTCCCTTTTCGGAAGGACGAACTTCTCCGTAACACGTCACTCGTGCGAATTATTAATTTTCCGAATGCAAATTTCTCCGGGGCGCGTAAGTCAGTTTATACGCCAAAAATTCGGACTAAGAAAATCCTGCCATCACGGTAGCAGCCGGATAAAGTATGTCGTCAGCGAAGCCCTGGGCTGACGGGAACAAAATACAGGTTGAAAAGTTCTTGGCATGCCTCGAGCGGCGGTTTGACACTTTATCGACGACTCTTTCGGGGCTGTTCGACTGTGTAAAATCGCGAACGATGGAGCGCACGGCATACGCGCGGCGGAATGATTTCGCCTTGCTCGCCGTTCAGGCAAATCGACTTCTTCTTGCGGCGGTAATAATAACTGCAAATTCTCCCAACGCGCTGGCAATCTCGTCGGAACAATTGCTGAACGACGCGTTATTAAATACGAACGAAGGAATCTCACGATTGTTTCCTTTCTCTTTTTTCTTTTGAAATGCTATCGATGATGCGACGTCAACGACTTGGCGTTTTTCCACTCCTAACTTCCGGAACGGAAGTTCTTTCTTTGTAGTCTGCTCGATTTTATTTTTAATTGAATCGAATTTAACGTAAGCCACGTCGCACGTATGCAATAACGAAGAACAAGAAAATATTCACGACGCGATTTCTCGCTCTCGTTCGATCTGAAGCTCCATTTCCATAATGCGGCCCTTAATACACGCTGCGTGCGTATAATACACTAATTAATTATCATCATCATACTAATTAATTATCACTATTCGTAACGAATTTAATGCTCGATAGCATAGTCGACTGTTTGTCATTAACTCGTGCGCTACACGACACGTATGTGTACAGAACATTCAAATGTATTCACAAACATGAATGTTCGATAGCATTTTCGAGGCATTACGAATTACAATGCATTCGGAGATATCAGTAAAATATTTAACCCATGCACGCCACTGGCGCTCATGTATTTTTTATATATTACTCATATCAAACATGATTTTGCATAAAAGATGGTATCGATGTCTTTCTTCCGCGGGGCAAATAAAATGGCGTGTCTATCCGTCTATTGATTCGTCTGTCTATCTGTCTGTCTGTCTGTGGAAAGAGAGAGAGAGAGAGAGAGAGAGAGAAAGAGAGAGATTTTTATATTGAAAAATACAACGACTCTCCTTGTCATCGTGCATGCTTCCTGGTTTCATCACGTTTTCAAAGAGACGAAAATGTGCATTGTAAAAAAGTCTCGCAGTGAAAATCGACGGATTACGCGACGGATTGTCGAGCACGCGCAATAAAAATCCGCGCACGAATGAAAAGTTGCCGAGGCTGACAAATTTCGGCGCGATAATTATACGCGGAAATGCGGGGGTAAATAATGTAGACTGGCGGTTGGATCTCGCGTCGATCAGCGTGGCCAGAATCGCCGGGAGGACACCGTTGGCCTTGCGAAGCAATTGATCCGATATACATATAAAAGCAGCGGCGTGATTCTGCATTTTAAATCATGCCCCGACTTTTTCGTCGATTTTCAATGGCAGCGGCTGCTCCGTTTGTCTGCCAATAACGGGACGTTATGAATCCGGACAATTTGCTGCGTTTATCTCTTTAAATATGGACGAGCCGTTGATCCGTCCGTCATCCGCGATTTTACGATACTAAATGCGATTCTCCTCGCAGCCACGGACATTTTTATGCGGATTTGCCGGGGAAGAGAGAGAAAGAGAATGAGAAAGAGGGAAAAAAGAATGTCACAACATATCACCAATAATTGTCATTTATCGTTTCGTCGTTGTCGATATTCGGCGATAAAGCCGATCTGTTCTTTCGTCGCAGTGTGTGATCTTTGACACGCGTAGAATTATATATTCAATTTCTTTTTCGAATATTATTACAATTATTATTACAATTATTTGAGCAAATACATAGTTATCTTAGAGAAAGTTCTTTAAATTATTTATATTGCTCCAGTATTTTAAGGAACAATCATTTGAGCAAACGCATAGTTATCTTAGAGAAAATTCTTCAAATTATTGATATCGCTCCAATATCTTAAGAAAGCTCTTGAAATTTCTTTTTGTAATATTCTGTAATATTCTGTAATATTTCTGTAATATTCTCGTGCCGCCAGTTTGAGTCTCTTGATTTCACGCAGGAGGATATTTAGACAAATTGCCTAATCATACATCATACGATCGGTCCCGCTTTACACACAATCGAATATGTCATAAAAGATAAATAAAATATTTTTAACGGTCACGAAAAACGGATCGGTCGAAAGGATAAATGAAAAAGATTGCATGACTTGTTGAATCTCTCCATACGGCATGAGCATGATAAATCGAGATAGTCTTTGTAGCCGAGTTCGAGTTACAAAGTTCACAAAAAGAGGATCACGCGATGTATCGGCTTTCCGCGAAATTTGAACCAAAAGGTAAAGCACTGACGAGATAAAGTTACGTCCTTAACCCGCTTTAATCTTTCCATGTCTTTCATCTCGTTTTCGAAAAAAATTAAACTACGGTACGTCCGTCGTTGTAAAGAACCTTTCCTCAGAAAATTTGCAAAATACCGCGAGTGAATGTAACGTTTAGCGGATTAGTTTAATAATCGAGAATAGAATTATGGATTATTTTAATGAATCGAAAATAAGAGAAATATGGAATCAAGGCAGAGAGAGCTAAAAATTGAAAATAGAATTGAAAGGACTATCCGCTCGTCATTCTTTAAGGTCTAATTTGAGAGACCGCGGACGAATAGAAAATTTGCTAAGGATCTCGCAGAAAAGTCAGAGTAAAAGATACTCGCTAAAGAATCTGTGAGAATTACTCACCCTCGTACACCCAATCTGGCACACCGTTGTAGATACTTCCATACACTCCGGTGTTGGTTATTTGGTAGTCATTGGCCACCTCTGGTTCCGGTCTATAGTAGATATTATTCTGATGCACGTAGATCAGAGCGTTGCCGCGCGGTGCCCACTTGGCGAGTTGCAGCGGCGTCGACTCGTTCTCCGCCAATATCGTTTCTGTTCTGCAAATATAATTATATCGCGTGCTTCACACAACGGACCAGGCTAGTTACTTCATCAGCTATTATATCATATAATCACAAGTCTTCGCGCGTGTGTACGTCAAGCCTAATCTCTCTCGCGTTCTCGCGTTTCCCACTTTTCGTTATGTGTGCCTTCCCTTCGCCGAGCAGTAAGTTCGTTATCGCGGTATCTCGAAAATGCCTCATGCCCTTCGATGCTAATTATTTTAATAGCGTAATTATACAGGGGAAAAAGCGTGGGGAGAATACGCAAAGACAACGAAGTACATCGTTGTTCGCGATCTAACGAGCAGGAAGAAGCACGAGAAAATATGAGCTGCGAAGCGAAATAAAATGACGAGAGACGAATTTCTCGTCTATTTTACGCCTCTTGATCTCGCTAATGTACCCGCTCATTCATTCACAACGAGATATTACGCGAGACATGTCCTTTTTTTTTATTTATTTCTCTTTTTCCAGCGGAGTCGAGCTCGTATTGTTACGTGAGGTAACGAGAAAACGCGAAATGCGAAAACGCGAATATTGCGGCTACCTTTAGTGGATTTATAATTCCGCCGTAAGCTGATTTCGCAAAGTCGATAGAATCTCGGATGGGATATATTCGAGTGACCACAGCGAACAGCTAGTGCTGAAATCTCGGCTTACGAAACCGAGACAGAGGAAGATATCGGGTACGTCGAAACCACGTCCATGTAGTTATTGTTTAGTTTTCGTAACCGATCGTTGAGACACAACAATGACGTCACTGTTTCTCGGTCAAACAATGCTGTAAACTCTGCATGATTCTAGGCAGGGCTCTAGTTCGGAACCGCTGGACAAGCTCGCGAGATGTATTCTCGCATAACTACGACTCCGTATTGTTGCATAGCTTTCGACGAGAGGAGAGGAACGTAATACGGGCCGCGAATTCTTCGTCAAAGGCTCGAAATTTAAACAATGACGGAGGTTTATTATACCGGCGACGATACAATCGGCGGACGTAGCGGCGAGTAAAAAGTAATCGGGATCGAAAGAGAGAGAGAGAGAGAGAGAGGGGGGGGGAGGAGAGGGGAGGGGGCCCGAGCGATACCAAAGCGAACAAAGAGTCGCCGAAACAATCGCCGGAGTAGCGCAAGAATTTAAATTGCAGTCGCTTTTTTCGGTCCTCGGGAACTTTTACTTACGCGAGACATTGTATTTTACACCGGCGGAATTATACGACAGTTCGCGAAAGACCTTCCGCGAAGGGAGTGCGGCCGAAATAAAATAGACGACGCGATGTGTCATCTTCATACACGCTCGTCACCGACGCTTTTGCCCGCCGTCATTCCGCGCCAAAGTTTTATCCGTCTCGAGTAAAAGTTCCAAATCTAGAGCGGACTCTGCTCGCGTGGCAGGTCGCCAGCTCTACGCGACGCGTCCACTTCCGCGCGCGGAAAACTATCGGAATCCATTCGCCTAAGAAACGTCGGCAGTATCGCGCACTCTGTCATCGGTCTGGAGAATAAACAAAATCGGACCCAGTTTTATCATGACACGAGCCACGGCTGATCGAGAGATCAGAAACGAACGAGACCCCGCGTGAGAGAGTTTAGAATCTCGAGCGAAAATTACGCTTTTGCACTCGCGCAATGTTTGCTACGTTGTAACCGCACGTTCCGTACTTTTTTACGAGAAACTGCTTTCATAGAAACTCCAATCTGCATCGATAAAAGAAACTTCGAACTCTGTGAAAAACGCAACGTTCATTTTATGTCGCCGCAATATGTGGCAGCGAATGCACATGTTCTCAAATATGTTTTCCGAGCGCATATGCGTGCATACATACACGCTAATGCATATATTCGAAAAGGGAAAGAAAGAGAATGTTTAAGAGGAATGGAGAGGAGCAAAGCAAGAGAGAAAGAGAGAGAAAGGGAGAGAGAGAGAGAGAGAGAGAGAGACAGAGAGGAGAGGTCGTCCCTACTCCATAGTAAAATCGCAAGCATAATAAAATCGGAAGCCGTTCGGATATAAGCCAAAAGTACAATATACACTCTGAAATTGATTCCGCGATGGGTTCTAGGATTGCGGGTGCAGCGAACACACATGGTCGCAATTGTACAACCACACGTACACGTGTAAAAGAAAGAAGCGCACAGGAATTACTTATCATTGATATTTCTCCCTTTCTTTAAACAATTGCATCTAGTGATTTTTAAATTATACATATACACACGTAAGATTTTGAAATAATTAAATATAATCATAATCTCGTTTTACATTACACAGAAACAACACGAATTTGAATTTGGACATGCCTCTCAAAGGCTGAAAGCTCGGCTGCATTTCAGGTGTCTGTGAAGTTAGCACGACGTTTTAAAAATTATTAGAAAACAATGTTAGTTCCAGCAGCATTTTTCATAATTCTACGGTCTCTGATAAAAAAGTTCTGTATTCTTAATACCAAAAAGTCGAAATGTGAAAAATGTGCAAACATCACGTCCCAGCACGGCACAGTCTCCTCTAAAGTACACAAAGCCGGTAAATAATATAAATCGCTTTTTGACGAGAGTTCCCGTTAGTTCTAGGCTAGTTTTATAATTATTTCAGCATTTCAGAGCAAAATTCCAACAATTAACAATTGTGTACAATTTTTAATACTCGCCGCCAACACGACACTCGGTGAAAATGTATCGACTTATTGCACTTCTGAGGATAGTTCTAGCTTGTTCTACACGAGTTTCATACCTCTTGGACGTTTCTTGAAGATCCTGTACTTTCGGTTCCTTTGAGGTACAAACGATTTGAAGGGAGGTACAAACGGGTAAAACGATTCTCTTTCGAATGGCGTTGGCCGTTTTCGGATATCTTGTACTTGCTTGCTGGCTATTTTTCCCCCTACCCCTATCTTTTTATTTTTTGAGGTACAAACGAAACAAAAAGTGGTACAAACAAGTACAGACGAAGTACAATGGAACCGTATTGAGAATTTTTCTTTATTAATTTGTTTGCCAGGTTCACATTGGTTCAGAAGTGCAGTAAGTCGACGGCACGACACATTTTCACCGAATGTCGTGCTGGAGCCAAAGGTTAAAATTAATTTAAAAATAGTTATACGGCGGAACGATGACTGCAAATGCTTGAACTGTATGTAACTCGAGCAGAACAAGCTAGAACTATTGTCAGAGGTGCAGTAAGTCGACGGCACGAAATATTTTGCACCGAGCGTCGTGCTAACGGCGAATATTTAAAATTGTACAGAATTGTTAATCGTTGGAATTTCGTTCTGAAATGCTCCATAGTTATAGAACTAACGGGAGCTCTCGTCAAAAAGCGTATTATTCACCGGCTTCTTATACTTTAGAGGAGACTGTGTCGTGCTGGAACGTGAAGTTAGCACGACATTTTTTCAATTCCAATTTTTTGGTATTAAAAATACGGAACTCTTTGTTATTTTTATCAGGAACTGTAGAACTATGAAAAATGCTACTGGAACCAACATCGTTTTTTAATAATTTTTAAAACGTCGTGCTAACTTCACAGACACGCATTCCAGAGCGTGACGTGCTCCAAACATTGAAACAAACGTCCGCGAATTCTCTGCGAAAAAGTGGATTAGATCGCCGATCCCCTCGATCACCTCTGTCGCATTGAAAAAGAGCAACTGAAGAAGCAGAGAGAAGAGACGAAGAGGAGAGAGGAGGAAAAGGAGAAGCGGGCTCCTTCCGGGCTGCATTCGCGAAATGACCCGCGGCCGTTTTATCCGGCCGTGCCAACCGGTCGCGGAAAATCGATGAAGAGCGGCGCGCGTACGCGCGACTTGACTGCCCTGTCGTCGCTGGATAGCTCGTCGTCTCGCGGCGAACTTCTTCCCGAAAAGCCATAAATAAAGACGGCGGTATTCATGCGGCGTACAAACCGGGTTTATGGCGGGACAGGGCTTGCCTGGTTCGCTTCGTCTCGCCTCGCCTCGCCTCGTCTTGCCGCACCACGCACGGAATATACAGCGCGAGGAAACTCACGGCTTATTTACTCTCTCTCTCTCTCTCTCTCTCTCTTCCTCCCCCTGCCGTCTCGCCATTTCTCCTTTTACTCTCGCCAGCACAACACATGGGTCCGATGGGTTGCCTCATGCTGCCTTTTATCGCGACACCGAAAACGGCGGCAGGGTTTACCAACCCCGGCTGTTTTCCGCGCCGTGATTGCCGTCATGCGTGAGCAAACGCGCGGGTCGGGACGAAATTTACAAAAAGGACCTTCCGCAAAGCGGCCGGTTCGTCCCCTGATTTCGTCTCGGCGCCGCCGGGATGTGCCGTCGTGTTGTAAAATCGGCAGCCGGGCAGCTTCTTGTATCGTCGTGCCGGGTCACCTTGTCTTACCGCGCGGTTGTTACCGTCGACGTGTACGAGCGTGCGAGTCGGCGAGTGATTTTCGGATCTCTGCGCGATGTCCGAGACAATGCGTCCTTCTCCCTTTCGTGGCCGTTTCATGATCCGAAAGTGTCTGCCGATTGTCCGTCGTTTCGTCGAGGAATGATTTCAGCTCTTCTCGATGCGACAAAAAATATCACCCCACGAGCGGACGATAACAAGCGTCACGGGTCAACCCTCCCCATCAGCCGCGATATTTTTCATCCACGAATGGAGACGCGATGTGTATCTCACAGATACACACAGACACTCATTTTCCCATTATCTTCCTCTGCCTCTTGAAACAATTTTCCTCTCATTAGTACTCGGCTAATAGACCGAAGGACGCCGAAGGGCGTAGGATAAACAGGGTAGAGCAAATGGACAAGTACAAAAGTATTTAGGACGGATAAAAAACAACGGCCTCGAGACCGTTTAGCAAGGACGATACTTTGTAGGTCCGAAAGTCCGCATCTATCTGGATATCGCGAGGTGAAGGAAATTGATTGAATAGATTCCATCGCGCGACTATAGTTTCCGACATGTTGGCTGCACCACCGACTCTGCCCGCTCTCGCTCTCTCTCTCTCTCTCTCGCGCGCGCGCGCGACATCGGGAAGATGAACGTACCATTCTTAGGGAGAATAACAGGGAATATGCGGCCGTCTTTGATGCGCGATATATCGCGCGCAATAATACGCGCCATAATCTCGCGTTATTTGCTGCTGCGTGTGTTACGCGCGCACGTTTTGATACGAAAGAGTGATTTTCCCGGCGATTTAGGACGACCGCCGCGCGAACAACGGGCATTTTCTCAGGACATGAAATGTAGCGCGCCTCGGAACGGTCGGCGGGTCGAAAAATAAATTCCTTACGAGATTTATGCTTATTTATGTATACTCGCGACACGTTAGCGCGCCGGTTCGGCAGCAGAAAACGAACTCGTGCCAGAACGTGAACTTTACGTATGCGACACCGTATGAGACGCTTCGCTCTCTCTCTCTCGCGCGCGCGCGCGCGCGCGAGAGTTCTGTTTTCGCGATTCTGTAATATTTATCGTCGCGCGCGCTCGCGTTACTTACGTCCGCTGTGAAGCACGATTATGATTTACGCATTCATCTTGACTCGGCACCACAAGCAACGCTTCGAACCGGCCGCGGCAGCAGCCAACTCGAGCGAACGAACGCGTCCAATTTAATTTATGCCGCTCCATCGATGTCGTTAATTGCGTCCGCGCGTGTTATCGGAAAAGTACATCGGTAATATTATTTCGAGTCGGTCGAAGAGAGTTCGCCCGACGATACTCCGAATTCTCCGGCGGACGTGCAATATTATGATTCCACTACTTTCTATAATTATCGAAGGTGGTAGGTAATACTGTAGAAGGTAGCGATACCTTCCGCAATTACAGAAGCAATTACAATCGCATCTGTATATTCTCGGAAATTCAGATACAGGCGGAATCAGTGAATCCTTCCGATGGCGAATGTACATCGCATGGAATTTCCTGCGAGACGAGCTGTGCTCACAAAGGCAGAGTACTGTTTCCCCGCTGTATACTCCCGAATTGGTCCGCACTGGTCCGAAACTATCTAGTCGTCCACGTCCTTCGTCGTGAAATGTGATTTTTTCCAGGGATGCGCGGGCAAGTGACTCGAACACTCGACACAACGTGCCGCGTATACACGGCGTATGTACGTATGTTTACTGCAGTTATGCGGTTAAACCACGAAACAGCGGTGCGCGCTCAGAGATGACGAGGCACAGCGCCTTTGCGCTCGCGAAGCGCGTTCAGCGTTCACGGGGAGCGAGATTTGATCCGCGCGACTATTTGAGAGCGATGATCTCAAGCGCGACGTGAAGCCCCAAGCCGTGAGACGCGTTCTCCGAGTCTGTGGGCATCCGCATATAACAGCGAAATTTCGCAGAATTGCTCCCTCGGGTTTAGGACGAGGTCGGGTCAAGTCAGGCTCGGGGAACGAGGTGGTTCCGCGTGAATGAACCAAACTTCAACATCCGCCGCGCTTCCCGCGCGGCGTGGAAGCGCGAACACGCCGCTGCGGAAAACGACGCTATTTCCGCGGAGGATCTCGAGGAGGTTCCCGGCGTTTCCGCGCCGGTCGATCCAAATTTGTCTCGAAAATTTCACGCCTTTTACGACCGACTCAGAGCACCTCGAACGAGCTCCGGGAGAACCGCGATGTTACGCTTCCCTGCCGGTACTCAAATTTTTCTCCAAAGAGCCGTTGTGTGCGCGTGTTCGTCGACTGCGCTCGACGATCGAGCAAACTTTCAGCTACAATGTTGGAGTTCGTTCGAAATTGTAGCGGTCGACCGAATTTGTAACTAATTGGAAGGAAATTCCTGCCTCCGCCAAATGTTATAGATGCCCCAACGTCGATAAATATATTCAGGTGATTAAATATGGGTTAACTAAACGCGCGTACACACACACACACACACACACACCACACACCACACACACACACACACACACGCAGATATATGTAACGAGGGCGATGATAAATAAATCACTGGAATTGACTCTCCAGCAGCCAATTGATAGCGAATTCAAGCTCACGAGAGCTATAACAGCGACTCGTGAAAATTAGTCGGCGATCGGCGTGGATCAATCGGCGGAATCGGCGTGCCGCGAAAGCCGCGAAGAGCGGACACTGACGGAGATTAAGAAGAGGGGAGTAAGATAATCGTTTGGTCGAAGAAGTCGCGCGCGCATAATCGCGCTGTTCTCGCAAGCGGATATCGCGGCCGTGAAAGGTGCAATCGCGCATAATAAGTTTAGGCCTTAAACGGTGGCTCTAAATATCGCAGCGTGGCGGCCGCGGGGCGCCATGGAGGGACGACGCGAGAGAACGAGATTGCGGCGCGGCACAGTCGCGGGGAAAGCCGGCGGGCGGCGGCTCCGTAATCGTGATATAACCACTCTTAAATGCTGAGTTAATGATCAAATCCACGAAGGAAAGTTCTCAGACGCGGAACTGAAGCGGCGGAGGTGGCGGCGCGGCGGCGCGGCGGTGACGGTAAGACGAGGTGGGATTAAATTCGTGCGCAGTTTGTAATTTGCAAGCGGCGCCGCGCGCTCTCGGCTTTTCCGACGCTCCTCTCCCCGCTCCCCCTTCTCGGTTTACGCCGGTGCCGGCGCGAGATTAAAATGCAAATCCGAACTTGATCGCGGAATAAATTTGAGATATGATTGTCACGGGACACGGCTCGTTTACTTACAGAGTTTCCAGATTCACGATCCCATAATGGGCCAGGTACGTGTATCGATACATCTGAAACAGAGAAACAAAGGGGTTGGCATTTAATTCGCTGTAACTCGACCAATTACCTTCTCGCTCATCGAGCGAGCGTAGGGCATACGCCGAAGCGTGCCGCAACGGAAGGCACGTCGTGTGTGATCGGCGCGACCGCAGCTCGCAATGCATAAATTATAGTGAAAATTAACGCGTCGGTTCGTCGGCACTGTAATGGAACACGCGTGGAATCCGCGAATCCGTGACATCGATTTTCCTCGAGCCGCCGCGCCGCACCGTATCGCGCGTGCATGCGTGCATGCGTGCGTGCGTGCGTGCGTGCGTGCGTGCGTGTCACGGCACTTCTACTACTGTGTGTCGTTTCGACTCGGAGGACATGCTTCTCGCGTCGCCGGCGGACCGTGGAAAATCGATCAAATGCTGCGAGCGGCGATGAGGCTTCGACAGATGGAAATTTCGATTTCCGCTGGAACGCGATGTTAAAAATACCCGTGCAGGCTATCTAAGTATGACTGAGAATACGGCTGATGTGAAATACGGCGGCACGCCAGCCCGCTGCGGATTCTATTTCGTTGGTACATTTCGCTCGGGCTTTTCCCCCGACGCGCGCTTCGCTCGCGCGACTTGCGCGAATGTATCGCGTGGTAACTATAAAAACCTCTCTCTCTCTCTCTCTCTCTCTCTCTCTCTCTCGCTGTCCGCCGCGCTCGCGCGTCATTCACGCGAGTCACGCGGATAAAGCGACAAAAATATCATAAAGTCGACGTTGATAAAAATACAATACGCGTCCCCGGACTCTCTGCCCGTGTTATTCGCGTATACAAGATTAGCATACGCGGCCGGCGAAAATAATAACGGCAAGGGCCCGTAGCACGTAATGCGGTCGGGAGGTTAATGCACGCCCAAGTGTTCCACTTTGCTTACGTAGACGTCGACGTACTCCGCTAATGTAACGTAACAAAGACGAGTCGCTAATTACCTGCGAATACCCCGGGTCGAAATTTCAAGTCTGGCGTGTAAGCCTCGGCAGAGTGATGACTCGCGCCTCTGACAATGCTCTTCTTGGGCCGCGCGAGCGCCCGTCTTCAAACTACCGACGCTTGTTTTTCTACTTCCGCTAAGTACTTTTTTGCTGTGCCGAATCAAAATTTCAGTTTCTATCGGTGCTTCCGGACGCACAACTTTGTCCTTGCAATCCCTCCCCCGTTGGTGAGAATCTCCAGTCTAATTGTCATTGGACAAATGTGATAAGAAAGGAGTTAAAATAAAATAAAAGGAAGGAGTTAAAAATGAATATTCGTTGCTTGCCCGTTTACCCATTAATCTTTAGTAAATAATTTGATATTAGCTTATCGCATGTGTACTCTACCTGCACATAAATTATATATTTAATATACTGCCCATATATATATATATATATATATATGTAATTGTAATATGTTTAACGGTTAATAATTAACACACCGCCTAATAAAGTTAAGGGTACAGAATAAAATGCAAGTAGAGAGATGCGTAAATATAAAATAATTCTAACATAAATTCTATAAATCTCAACATGTAAAAAATGGCATGTAAATAAGCATATGTGGCATGAAGAAAAGATAATATCCTATACAATAACGTTGTATCTCGAATTGTTTCTGTTGGTCTTTATGTTCGATCTCTCTCTCTCTCTCTCCCCCCCCTGTTTTTCCCTCTGTGAACGCTACAGAAAAAGAAATAAATATTTGTTATCGTTGTCGGTAGTTTTCTATAACACATAATATTTACAACAACGATTGGAAATAAACTTTGCGTCATGCAATCGCAACGCAATCGCTGCTGACGTAACGTGTTGAATATGAATGTCATTGTGGTGTAATAAAGAGAAAACATTCAATAAACAACGACAGCGTATCGCGAGTGATCGTTTCATTAGACATCGGGTTTATAAACTCCCGAGGCAATACCGTGTACACGCGTTCGCGAAACTGCGCACTCTTAGAAAGTTCAACCCGATCGTACCTCACGTCCCTTATAGGCCCCTCTTCCCCCGCGCGCGCTTAGCCACTAATAATAATCACAGTAATAAAAGCAATAGTCGGTTAACCGTGCGTTTGAAGTTTAAACAGCAACCAGTGCAACCAATCTCGGGACGCACGTGCAGGAATTCGCCGGAGTGCACGTAAACCACGTTTAGAAGTTTAATGATCAAAGTTCGCGGTAAATTGCGACTCGCGAAGGGCTTCGGTTCGACCGAAAACGCGCCTTTTCACTCGCGTTAATCATCGATTGACAGTCGCGCCGACATTTACGCTAAATTACATGCGAGCGCGAGCTTTGATCGAGATAACGTATGGGAGTGCCCTCACTCGTGCTAACTAAAAGCACCGAGGGTCTCGCGGCTCGATGAAAAAGAACGATGCACTGTAGGTAAACATCGTGCAAAATCGAGCGAAATGAAGCAAGAAACATGCGCATCAAATTAAATGAGGAGGAAGAGAATAAAAGAGGTGAATAATGAGCGAGGAGCAAGAAGCACAAATGATTGAAGGGGATGATTGAGGGTCAGATCGCTGAAAAATCGTGCTTGTATTTGATAATATTTTGTGACGAACTGAATGAATGTGCAAGAATGAAAATTTCAGGTATAGTTATACAACATGTGAAGAGTAGAAAAATTTTGTTTATTAACAAATACTCGTATAAATATACGAGATATATATATAGCTGAAATATATTCTCCTTTTTTTTTTTCAAGTTATTTATTATTATTTCAAGTTTTTGCAGTAATATCTCGGTGGTCCGATCAGAGCGAATTTTAGCTAGAAATCTTGAGGAGGCTTATCATTATCCGGTGGTAACCACTAGAAAAAAAATCGAACAAAATTAACAAAATGGCAGCTGTTATCAGGAAACAATTCAAATTTTTCAGTTTTTTTACAAGAAAAAAATTGATATCTCGAAATGAAATATTTTGACGGAGTTGTCCATGGTTCACCTGAGAGCCAAATGAACAAATATTATTGCTTTAAAATTTCAAATCGATACGAAGCTCAGTTTCGGAGAAATCACTGCAAAAAGTTGAACGATAAATTTTCGAGAAAAACGCGTTTAAAATTTAAGTGGACGTATATTTATATGAGTATTTGTTTAAAAACAAAATTCTTCTACTCTTCATGTGTTATATAAATATATGTAAAATTTTCATTCTTGTACATTTATTCAGTTCGTCACAAAATCATGATCAAAAACAAGCACGATTTTTCAATAATCTGACCCTCCAAGTCCCCCCTTAAGGTGAAAGAGATGACGTGGGAGCGCGGGTGACAAGAACCGACTGTGAAGCGCATAACTATCTAGTAGCGAAATCAACAACTACAAGAAAAATAAAAAAAAAACATTCACACGTGATGGTACTTTATATCGAGAAAATGTTACGCTAGATACCAAAATATGTACAAAATAATAAATATGTAACGAATAATAAATAATAAATTTTTTCACCGACGGATCTCCAGCGAACTCCTCCTTCGCCACGGCGCATTAATACGACGATACATTATTGCACGATTTAGCAGGCTAATATTGTAACAAAACAGTTACACCGTCGCTGAATATACCGTCGTTGATAATTAGAGGTACCATCGATGCGATAATTGGCACGGGCAATGAGTACGCGTCTGTGGCTGGAAATGCTCCAACCATGGCGATACACCCATGGGAACGTTTCAAGCAGGGAGATCCGGCTAGCTGATAGAGAGCGAGCGAGCGAGCTCGCCGTCGAACGGACCATCGACAGTGCCCGGCGATACGGAAGGATTCATGGTGTGCCCCGCGCTATTTTGCCTCCATTAACTCTTTCGGAGCGGAGCTATAAATCATGCCGCGCCTGATAAGGTCGAACAACGCCATTTTCACGTGTTGCGACTGCATTCGCTATCAGGCGCGAGCTCGTTTCCATCGCATTATTCCTGCCTTCAACACCCGCACCGTACACTGTGCCCTCCATTAACCCCTTCGCAGCCAAATGTACCTGGGTATGGGCGTGTTACTTTTTTCTTCGCTTGTAATATGCAAATTTCTAGTGTTAGAGTATCGCTCGATATGTCGAGCCAAGTTCTAAGGTAGGTACAGAGTCGACGCGTGAACTCGACGTCTGCAGCATCCTCTTCGTGACGCCGAGATGCACTTGCAAACAGAGAGGAAAATGTAATAGCGGAATCTCACAAGCTGCTCGTAACAACAGTGCTCAGCGCGCTGCCTTCCTTTTAATTACTTGTATGATTCTGCTCCGAGTTTCCGGATTAGGGAATAATATTTTCAAGTGGAAAAACATCACGCGATTCAAACATCGCTTATGTTTACTACGAACGAAATTAAATATCTCGAAGCCGATGTGTGTATTCGATAATCGCTGAAATGTCAATGTGGGAGTAATTGATGCAAAATTAGAGTTTTCCTCGATGCGATTCGCAATTAAAGTGGCAAACATACGCTCGGCCGCAGAGACAAACAATTTAGAAAATCAAGAGCAGTTTCGAGAGACACAGCTTTTGGAAAAACGAAGACGGAGTTAGTTATTTTTGTGCGGGATGTATCGCCAACTTGTTGCTACCTCGTAAAGATTACGATCAAATAAAGAGAGCCGCTGATTCCCTAAACAGCGCATCGTGATAACTCGTCGACGCGACGAATCGAATGAAATATCACAAGGTAAACGCCTACGCAAGAGTTAGGAAAGATTTTTGCGCATCTCGCATCCTCGAATCCTCGCGTCCTGCACGCGCTGGCAAGAGAACCATGACGTTTCAGTGATAACATTTAATTTTACGGTGATATGTCCGCGACCATATGTGCGCGTACGCGAATGTGTGACGCGTGCAGGTGTACGTGCGCGAAATTTCGCATGTCGTTCAACAAGAATTACGATGCGTTCGGGCTCTCCCGATGTTGCGCAAATTATTTTTCTGCCACTAAAGAGTCGTTGTACCGTGTCAGCTTTTTCGACAGGACGGGCGGGGCATTGTTCGAGCGCC